ACACCGCTGAGGGAAAAACTGCAGGAAGTTTTCGGTGGAGGGCTCTGCTGGGACCCCAAAACTTTGCTGGGCCCCACCCCTTCCCATATCCCCACCTCAAGTGCTAAGAGATCACTTATTAAATGACAAGGATTTCCAAGAGTAAGGGGCGTCTCTCCCAGCCTGGGGGTATCCTTCCCAAACTGCTACATTCCCAAGTAAATTAAGAAGTCCCAGCCCTGAATAACGGACTGGAAACTTACCGAGAGCCGCGAAAAAAGTCAGAGCTGGAGTCGGTCTCGTCCCCGCTCGGGCCTCCGTGCCCCGCCCTTCTCCTCCCTCCTTTCACCCTCCCGAGGCCCCCGCCTCTCTCACCGCCTTCCTCCCTTGCTCTCCCCTCCAATCCGGAACCCTTTCTCTCTCGCTCGCTCTCCTTCTGCCTCTCCTCTCTTCCTCCTGCCCTCACTGTCTGGGCCGCCTTCGCTCTTGATCCCGTTTCTCTTTCTCTCCTCCTCGCAATATATACTGACCCTTATATAAACCCACCCTCACCGCGCCCAGCTGAGGTCCGCCGCCAGTGGGAGGGCCCAGGCACTCCGGTTCCTCTTTCTTTGGGCCCCCACCCAATCCCCTCAGACAGACATCATCTGGGGCTCCCTCCCAGGGTTGAGAGGAGAAACTCTTGGAATGGGGCTCTGGGGAGGGGCAAGCGTCAAGGGTGGGAGGGCCCGATTCTCAGGACCCTTGGGTTTTGAGGTCTTGTCTTGGGACCGGATGTCTGCTTTCCCTGATGGAGCTTGGGGCTGGATAGGAGTCTGGGAAAGGAGGCCAGATTTCTGTGGCATGCACTGAGATTGGGCTGATGAAGTTGGCCCCGTGGTGGGGGTTAGAGGATGGGAGATGAAGTTTGTGAAACTCGGCACGGCATTGTGGCTCACGCCTGTAATCCCAGCACTTTGGGAGGCCGAGAAGGGCAGATCATCTGAGGTCAGGAGCTCGAGACCAGCCTGGCCAACATGGTGGAAACCCGTCTCTATCAAAAATACAAAAATGAGCGGGACGTGGTGGCGGGCGACTGTAATCCCAGCTACTCGGGAGGCTGAGCCACAAGAATCGCTTGAACGCGAGAGGTGGAGGCTGCAGTGAGCTGAGTTTGCACCACTGCCCTCCAGCCTGGGCGACAAATTGAGACTCTGTGGCCAAAAAATAATAATAATAATTTTAAAAAATGTGTGAAACTCTGGAAGGTGGGGAGGAGGAGACAGAAGTTAAGAATCCCAGTGCCATCATTTCCTGGCTCAGTGAATTTGAGCCAATTATTTCACCCACCTGGGCTCCAGTATCTTAGTCTATGTCAAGAGTATAATAATACTGACAAAATACTAATACTGATAATAATTCTGATACTTATGCTGAATGAATAAGGTAATACTGGTACACTCACACACCTAAGCTGTTCCTTCATCAAACATTTATTGAACATGTACTCTGATCTAGGAGTTAATAATGAAAACAGACACGACCCCTGCTGGTATTATGGAGCTTGTCTTCTAGTAGAGGAAGACAGACAAGAGAAAACATCAATGATGAAGATAAATCTCAGCTAGGGATAACTGCCTTGAAAAACAAATATAATAGGCTGGACGCAGTGGCTCATGCCTGTAATCTCAGCACTTTGGGAGGCCGAGGCTGGAGGATCACCTGTGGTCGGGAGTTCAAGACCAGCCTGGCCAACATGGTGAAACCCTATCTCTACTAAAAATACAAAAATTAGCTGGGCGTGGTAGTGGGCGCCTGTAATCCAAGCTACTCGGGAGGCTGAGACAGGAGAATTGCTTGAACCTGGGAGGCGGAGGTTGCAGTGAGCCGAAATCATGCTACCGCACTCCAGCCTGGGTGACAGAGCAAGACTCCATCTCAAAAAAAGAAAGAACAAGAAATAAAATAATAAATCAAACACAGTGATGGAGATAATGATGGAGTGCAGGGGAGACTACTTGAAACAGGAGAATCAGGGAAGGCGTCTTGGAGGAGGTAAAATTTGAGCTGAAGACAGGAGTCATTTGAACGCTGGGGTCGGGGAGTGGTGGGGGGAAGTGGGGGGAAGAGGAAGTGCAAAAGCTCTTAAAGCTTTTGAGAACAAGCTCAGGTTGTTTAGGGCGCAGACAGAAGGGCCAGTGTGGCTGGCACATAGGGAGACAGAGGGAGTGGTAAGAAGGGAAATCAAAGGGTGCCCTTGAAGACTAGGGGAGGGGCTTGGATTTCATTCTAAGTGCAGTGGGAAGCCATTAGGTTTTAACGGAGTGTAGTACCAAAGATTTTTTTTTTTTTTTTTTTAAATGAAGTCTCGCTCTGTCATCCAGGCTGGAGGGCAGTGACATGATCTCAGCTCACTGCAACCTCCACCTCCTGGGTTCAAGCAATTCTCCTGCCTCAGCCTCCTGAGTAGCTGGGATTGCAGGTACCCGCCACCATGCCCGGCCGATTTTTGTATTTTTAGCAGATACAGGGTTTCTCCATATTGGCCAGGCTGGCCTCGAACTCCTGACCTCGTGATCTGCCCGCCTTGGCCTCCCAACGTGATGGGATTACAGGTGTGAACCACCGTGCCCAGCCCCAAAGGTTTAATGTTAATTATTATTATTCATTTTGGGGATATTAAATTAGGATTGGGGGTGATGATTACTATGTACACGAGTCTCTGGGGAGGGGACCAGGTGTCCAAGACTCTGATAAATTGAGAGCAGGGGAATTCAAATCCTGGATCCAGGGAAAGGAACTGGATGATGGGATGTCTGGGTATCTGATGGGCCAGAGCTCGGTTTGGGATAGCTGTTGGTGATTTGAGGGATGGACAGTTCAGTGCCTGGCTGGGTACCCCGAGACCTGGAAGCTGGGATACCAGTATAGTACAGACTGTAGAGCCACACTGGTTGGACTCAAAATCCAAGCTGTTTTACTAATTGGCTGTGTAATTTTTGGCAAGTTACTAATAACTTCTCTATGCCTCAGTTTCTTCATCTGAAAAATAGATAATAGTAAATACATTATAGGGCAGTTCTTAGGGTAGTGCTAGTCATATCAGGCATTGGGGCTCTGAGTGGAGTCAGTACTGGGGCACCCTGATTCAGGGTCTCTAGGAGTTGGGGAAGGGGCAAATTCTTGGGTCCACTGGCTCTCAAGGCTAAAGTTGGGAATCAAAAATGAGGGTCCCTGGGGGAGGAGAATAGTTTCAAACTTAAGTGCCTGAGAGGGACAGAAACTGGGGTCTGCACTCAGATCCCTAAGGAAGTTGCAAAGTCTGGGTCACTGAAGGAAAAATTAGGGGCTGGGGAGACATGTGTTCCTTTTGGGGTGCAGGAAAAGCGGGCTCCATCTTCTTGAGAGGACTAGGGGGAGCTAGGGGCTAGGAAGATGGAAACTTGAGCCGGGGAGGTGAAAAACACGAGTCTAGGACTCAGAATCAAGTTCTCTGAGTGGAATCGGCGCCAGGCTTGGGTACCATGGGGATATTAGGGGGGTCCCCACACTACGGCTATGTAGAAGGGGAAGAATCAGGGGATCTGAAGGTGGCGGCGGGATCTCCCCATCCTGGGCCTCCGAGATTTTGAGCTGAGCTGAGCGTACGCAGGCCGCTTCCTCCCACAGGAAACCGCAGGCGTCGGGCACACCCAGCCTGCAGGGAGAGGCGCCCACTGCCCGCCCGCCAGGGGAGGCCCACGTGGGCAGCAGCCTCCGCGGAGGGGGCGTGCCTTACAGAGCGAGTGGGTGTAACCGAGAGGGCGTGGCCGGAAAGCGAGGGCGGTACGGAGTGCCCGAGGCCCCGCCCGCTTCCGCCTTCCAGCGCGCGGACGTGGTAGGCGGCCAAGGGTTTTTGGCGGCTTCCCGGGAAGCCGTTGGTCGCGCTTGCGTAGTGAATCGCTGAGGCTGTGGTGAGCGCTCCTTCTCCCAGCAACTGGCGGCTTCGGCACCGCCTTCCTTCCTATGAATCCTTAATTTAACGTGGTCATAGTCATCTTAAGACATGCACCTCCTCGGCCCCGTCTTGTAGGACCTCGGCCTGGCCTGGAGGGCTCCCATACAGGTCCCCGCAGGCTCTTTCAGCTCCCGCCGCTTCCAGGCCCGCGGTACTACCGAGACCTCAGCCTCGAGCTCCCCAGGACCGTTCCGACCTCCCGCAGGCCTTCCAGGCCTGAGCGCTTCCCGATTAGCCCGCCCTTCACCTCCCTCACACCAGGCCCCTCGTTAGGCCTTCCAAACGCGACCCGCGCAGCCCGCCCCTTACAGGGAAGCCCCTTCCCTCGCCAGCCCCGAGGTCCCGCCCTTTACGGGTGCCCGTACCACTCGCCTAGTCGCTCAGAAGCCCCGCCCTTTACAAGTGCCCGTGCCCCTCCCCTCGCCTAGTCAGCTCAGAAGCCCCGCCCTTTACAAGGGCCCGTGCCCCTCCCCTCGCCTAGTCAGGTCAGAAGCCCCGCCCTTTACAAGTGCCCGTGCCCCTCCCCTCGCCAGTTCCGAAGCCCGGCCCTGTACAGGGTTCGTGCCCCTTCCCTCGCTGTCCCCGAAGCCCGTCCTGTACAGGTGGCCGTGCCTTTCCCCTCGCAGGCTCCGAAGCCCCGCCCCTGAAGTTCCTCCCACTCTCTTCACAGGTCTCAGCCCCGCCCATCACAGCTCCCTACGGCACGCCCCTCTCAGGCCTCACAGCCCTGCACCGCGCAGGGCTCCGCAGCCCCCCTCCACAGGCCCTCCCGGTTCCGCCCCTCGCAAGACCTCCCCGCCCATCAATTTTGTTTGTTTGTTTGTTTTTTGAGACGGAGTCTGCTCTGTCGCCCAGGCTGGAGTGCAGTGGCGCGATCTCGGCTCACTGCAACCTCCGCCTCCCGGGTGCAAGCTATTCTCCTGCCTCAGTCTCCCGAGTAGCTAGCTGGGACTGCAGGCACGAGCCGCCAGGTCCAGCTAATTTTTTGTACTTTTAGTAGCGACGGGTTTCACCATGTTGGCCAGGCTGGTCTCGAACTCCTGACCTCAAGTGATGCATCCGCCTCGGCCTCCCAAAGTGCTGGGATTACAGGCGTGAGCCACCGCGCCTGGCCTCGCCCATCAGTTCTAAGTCCGTGGGAACTTTGCAGGTCTACGCCTCGCATCCTTCTCCGCCCTTCCTCCCATAGTTTCTCCCGCGGCCTCGGTCCCTCCCTGGCCACTGTCCTCAGTCCTCATTGGTCCCTTATCTCCCCAGTAACCAGACCACAACACTGAGCTTGGAGCACCAAGAACAGGTCAGGCCCGTCGGCAGGTAGGGCCCAGGACTCCCCCGACCCTGCCCAACCCCCCTACAGCAGGCCGGGGTTTCCCTCTCCCCTGCGACCAAACAGCCTGGCCTCGGATATCCTGAGAGCCCAGGAGACCTGTCCCCTGCCAAACCCGCGCCAGAATCAGAGCCGAGACGCAGGACCCAGAGTGTGAGAAGTGGGAGGGCGGGAGAGGTGTGGGAGAGGCCTGAGAGAGGTCCCCCTCCAACCCCTCTTGGAGGAATGAGGCCAGCGTGGTTCTAGGGTCACCCCCTTTCAATTCCCAGTCGCTCTCAGTTCATTGCCCACCCTCCTCTGGACTCTGGCCCGCCTGCTGTCTGAAGGGTCTTATGTGTCCATCCCTACAGAAGCCCCACCTTCTTTGGCCAGGATGCCTTTGGGACGCTTGTCAGGGAGCGCCCGCTCCGAGGAGGGAAGCGAGGCCTTTCTGGAGGGAATGGGTAATTCATTCATTGTTGATATCATTCATCCATTCTTTTCCAGCCCCCAGCTTTCCCCAGTTCCACGTCCTGTAGGGAGGGAGAGAGCGTGTCTGTCCAAGAGCGCCCTCTGGTGGGAAGAGACATGCGCCCTAAGGGAGGTGGGGCGGGCACCACCGTGGGTGGGCCAAGCCTGGGCGGTGGGGCAGGCTGGAGACTTCAGGCAGCAGAAGTTTGAGTGGGGCCCAGAACTCCCCGTAGGAATTGCCAAGGGGAGAAGGAAGGAAGGGTGTTTCTGCAGAGGTGATAGAATGTGGCTAGAGTAGACTTTCTCAGCCTCAGTACTGTTGACTGTTGGGTGGGATAATTCTTTGTTGTGGCGGCAGTCCTGTGTGTTGTAGGATGCCAAGCAGTGTCCATGGCCTCTACTCACTGGATACCAGTAGCCCCCTCCCTTCCCCACAAGTCATGGTAATGACAGATGTCTCCAGGCTGGGCGTGCTGGCTCATGCCTGTAATCCCAGCACTTTGGGAAGCTGAAGAAGGAGGATCACTTGAGCCCAGGAGTTCAAGACCAGCCTGAGCAATACAGTGAGACCTCATCTCTACAAAAAAATAAATAAATAAAATTAGCCTGGTCTGATGGTGTGCACCTGTAATCCCAGCTACCCGGGAGGCTGAGGTGGGAGGATCACTTGAGCCTGCGAGGTGGAGGCTGCAGTGAGCTGAGACTGTCACTGCGCTCCAGCCTGGGGGACAGAATGAGACCCTGTCTAGAAAAAATAAGTCTCCAGACACTGCAGATGTTTTTGGAAGGCAGAATCACCCCCGATTGAAAATTACTGGGCCTTTGGCAGTGGGGAGCATGTGGGCAAGACTGGAGAAGTGGGTAAGGTCAGGTCATTTGGGGTCTTGGATCCCAGGTTGAGGTGCTGAGACTTTATCTTGCAGGTACTGGGGCATCATGGGAGGCCTGTGAGGGGTAGGGTCTGCTATGGGTGGGGTAGGGTCGGCTGTGGGTGTAGAGAGACCCTCTGGGACTGTGCAGGAAGGCTGGAAATTGAGAGAAAGGTTGAGGTGATGGTCCAGGTAGGAGAGGATGAGGCCGAGCCCAGGGATGGGTTGAGAGAGGGAGGAGGGAAGAGGATGGGGCTGAGGGCTGCTGATGGTGGGGAGAAAAGGAGGGAGGGAGCAAGAGCCTTCCCAGTTCCGGGTGGTGTGCCCAGGTCCCAGAAGACCCAGAGGCCTTCCAGAAGTGCCCCTGGTGGGATGGGAGTGGGTTTTAGGGGAAAAAACCCTGAGTTCAGTTTTGGGTATGGAGGGATGAGGAAGCTCGAGGGATCCTGGAACTGAGGTGCATTCCTGGAGGGATGTTGGGGGCTGGATCTGCAGTTCAGTTGCAGTTTGTGAGACCCCAAAGGGAGCAGAATTCCTAGGTCCTGGGTTGGAAGGAGCTGGTGGCCAGGATCCCTATTGAGTCCCTTGGCCGGCCCTGTTCTCAGTGGATTGGGAGCTGAGTAGGCTGCAGCGCCAATGCAAGGTGATGGAAGGGGAGAGGCGGGCCTACAGCAAGGAAGTCCACCAGCGCATCAACAAGCAACTGTGAGCTGGGTGCCTGGGCCCTGAGCTGGGGAGGAGGGGGTCAGAGGGGCTAGAAGCTAGACTCCTGGGTCTGAGGGGGAGCGCAGGAGCAGTGCGTCCTGCCTTTAGCAATGCTGAGTTCTGCCCCCTTACTGGCCCGCTACCTCCCTGCCTGGGTAGCGAGGAGATCCGGCGCTTGGAGGAGGTACGGGGCAATCTCCAGGTGCAGATCAGCGCAGCCCAGAACCAGGTCAAGCGGCTTCGGGACAGCGAGCGACTGGAGAACATCGACCGCCTGCTGAAGGGCCGGGCCCAGGTGCAGGCCGAGATCGAGGAGCTGCAGGAGCAGACCAGGGCCCTGGACAAGCAGGTGGGTTCGAGATGGGGTTCTGCAGATCCTGCTCACGGGCAAATGTTGTAACCTCTCTGAGCCTTAGCGTCCTCATGTGAAATTGGGATTACTGGGCCAGGTGCAGTGGCTCACGCCTGTAATCCCAGCACTTTGGGAGGCTGAGGCAGGCAGATCACTTGAGGCCAGGAGTTCGAGACCAGCCTGGCAAACGTGGTGAAACCCCGTCTCTACAAAAAAAAACAAAAATTAGCCAGGCATGGTGGCACATGCCTGTAATCCCAGCTACTAGGGAGGCTGAGGCAGGAGAATCGTTTAAACCCGGGGGGGCAGAGGTTTCAGTGAACCAAGATTGTGCCACTGCACTCCAGCCTGGGCAACAGAGCAAGACTGTCTAAAAAATAAAAATAAAAAAATAAGGGCTATTGAAAGCATGCATCTGGTAGAGTTGTGTTCAGTGGAAATATAGATGTTGGCTGCTTTAGCACAGTCTCAGGCATTCGAAAACAGGACTAGTGAGGTTAAGCAGGAAAGAGTCGTGTGGTAGAGTTCCTAAAACCTGCATTAGAGCCCTGGCCCTGCCATCAGAGCTCTGTGACCCCAGGCAGGCAGGTTTTCACCCCTCTGGGGCCTAGTTTCTTCATCTGCAAACGAGGATGGTGGTAATGCCGCAGTCTAGACAGGTTGCGAATCCCATCTGTTTCAGGACCTTGCTATTTGACCTTGCGAACAATGTGATTTTTCTAGGCCAGTGATCTGTCAAGTTTTTATGACCGTGACTCATGAGGTGTAGCTCATACACACCAAGTTGCATACAGATGTAAACACACACACGTATATTAATATATCTGAAACAGAAGTTTCAGCAAATATATATATATATATATTTTTATGTGGAATTCATTCTGCTAAATTCTGGCCTACCTTTCATTTAAAAAACCAATTTGTCAGTTGGGCACGGTGGTGCGTGTCTTGAGGCTGAGGGGGCAGGACTACTTGAGCCCAGGAGTTTGAGGCTTCAATGAGTTATGATTGCCCCACTGCATTCCAGCCTGGGCAACAGAGAGAGACCCACTTTCTTTTTCTTTTACTTTTATTTATTTATTTATTTTTGAGACAAAGTCTTGCTCTGTCACCCAGGCTGGAGTGCAGTGGCAGGATCTTGGCTCACTGCAACCTCCGCCTCCCAGGTCAAGCCATCCTCCTGGTCAAGTAATCCCAGCACTTTGGGAGGCCGAGGTGGGCGGATCACGAGGTCGTGAGATTGAGACCATCCTGACTAACACGGTGAAACCCCGTTTCTACTGAAAATACAAATATATATATATATACAAGCCGAGCGTGGTGGCGGGTGCCTGTAGTTCCAGCTACTGCCCGGCCGGGAGGCTGAGGCAGGAGAATGGCGTGAACCCGGGAGGCGGAGCTTGCAGTGAGTCGAGATCGCGCCACTACACTGCAGAGCCTGGGCGACAGAGTGAGACTCTGTCTTAAAAAAAAAAAAAAAAAAAAAATTCTGAAAAATGCAAACCAATCTATAGTGACACAAAACAGATGAGTGATTGCTGGGGGGAGACTCGACTGCAGGAAGAGAATGAGGTGAGGAACTACAAAAGGGCACGAGGAAACTTTTAGGGGTGATGGATATTTTCACTATTTTATGTCAAACCATATCAAATTATGCAGTTTGTTTGTTTGTTTATTTATTATTGATTTAGAGATGGAGTCTCGCTCTGTCACCCAGGCTGGAGTGCCGTGGTGCAATCTCAGCTCACTGCAATCTCCACCTCCCAGGTTCAAGCAATTCTTCTGCCTCAGCCTCCCGGGTAGTTGAGACTACAGGCGCCTGCCACCGTGCCTGGCTGATTTCATAGTTTTAGCAGCGACAGGGTTCTGCCATGTTGGCCAGGCTGGTCTTGAATTCCTGACCTCAGGTGATCTGCCCACCTCGGCCTCCCAAAGTGCTGGGATTACAGGTGTGAGCCACCGTGCCCAGCCCAAATTGTACACTAAATATGTGCAGTTTTACCATATGTCATCTATTCTTTAATAAAGCAATTATTGAGGCAGGAGAATTGCTTGAGTCTGGCCTGGGAGGTGGAGGCTGCAGTGAGCTATGATGGTACCACTGTACTCAGCCTGGGTGACAGAGTGAGACCCTGTCTCTAAAAAAAAAAAAGAAAAAAAAGGAAGAGAATTTTGTTGGGATTCATGTGCAGTTGAAAAAATGCAGAGATATCCCCTGTACACTTTGCTGCATTTTCCCCCAGTGTCAACATTTTGGGTATTTCTTTTTCGAGGTGGAGTCTCGCTCAGTCACCCAAGCTGGAGTGCAGTGGTGCGATCTCAGCTCTTTGCAGTCTCCACCTCCCAGGCCAGGCTCAAGTGATTGTCGTGCCTCAGCCATCCGAGTAGCTGGGATTACAGGCACGTGCCATTACGCCCAGCTAAGTTTTGTATTTTTAGTAGAGACGAGGTTTCACCATGTTGGCCAGACTGGTCTCGAACTCCTGACCTCAGGTGATCCATTCTCCTCGGCCTCCCAAAGTGCTGGGATTACAAGCGTGAGCCACTGTGCCTGGCCAACATATGAGTTTTTACGGGACATGATTAAACCCATAAGAGAGCACAAATTGAAGTGTTAAGCAATTCATTTGTCTGTTTAGTCCGCATGTTATGTTGAATACCTTCTTTGTCTCAGACATGGAGAAAACACAAGACTCTCTGTCCTCATGGAACCCCCCGTTTGCTTGGAGACACACAGCACACCCCAATAAGTACCGATGAATACAGAAATGAGGACAGATTGGAAGCTGGTTTTAGGCATAAGCAGACCCAGGGATACTAATGTCATCAGGTTCATTCTCACCATCTCTCCAACTCTCATCTCCACTTCTGTCCACTGGCCTCATCCTCCCAGGATCCTCCCTGTGGTGGGGCTCTGACAGCAGAAGTCCTGGAATCCCACCCTTCCATCTCATGTGCTTTCCCCAGACTATCAGGAAAGGAGTCAGAGCCGGGCGCCGTGGCTCTTGCCTGTAATCCCAGCACTTTGGGAGGCCAAGGCGGGTGGATCACTTGAGGTCAGGAGTTCAAGACCAGCCCGGCCCACATGACGAAACCCCATCTCTACTAAAAATACAAAAATTAGCTGGCTGTGGTGTACGTGCCTGTAATCCCAGCTACTCGGGAGGTTGAGGCACGATAATTGCTTGAGCCTGGGAGGTGGAGGTTGCAGTGAGCCAAGATCACGCCACTGCACACTCCAGCCTGGGCGACAGAGCAAGACTCTGTCTCATTTAAAAAAAAAAAAAAAAGGAAACGAGTCAGGCTGGCTTCATGGGGTCGCATTCCCATCTCTAGGCCAGTCCCTGTGAGTGTCCAGACCTGGGTCATGTGGCTGACAGGGTGACACACTGTGGTGGAAGGCCCACCAGAACCACATGGAGGGCTGGGTAGTGTCAGCAGAAGGGTAGATGTTATTCTGGGGCTACGGGGACAGCAGATGTCTGCCGTGCTTAGTGACTCATTTTCCCTCAGCCATTCAATCTCTCCCACATTCAGGCAACCATAAACGGGTACCGTCCTCTTTCTTCTAGATCCAGGAGTGGGAGACACGGATCTTTACCCACAGTAAGAATGTCAGGTCCTCGGGATTCGTCCTGGATCAGAAGGTCAAGATCGTGCGAAGGATCAGGATCCTAGAAGACCAGTTGGACAGGGTGAGGGTCAGCCTCCTGGTCCCTCGACCTGAATTGTGGGGCTATGGGAAGAATGGGGCATGGTCGTTGGGTTCTGGAAATGGTGGACAGTGTGTGCACATGTGTGTCAGGACACAGGATTCTGGAGGGATGGAGGTTCCCAAGGAAAGGAGACTGATGGGTCCTTAGAGGGGAGTGGACATTGATTTCAGGAACCCCAAAGAACCGATGTTTCTCAGGAAACAGGCCGGCCCCACCTCTGATAAGCGTCTCCTCCTTGGCTGAGCTTGGAGGAGGCAGGCAGGCCTGGCCTCAGACCCACTCTTCCATCCGCCTTTCTACTCCCAGGTCACCTGTCACTTTGACAACCAGCTGGTGCGGAACGCGGCCCTGCGGGAGGAGCTGGATCTGCTGCGGATCGACAGGAACCGCTATCTGAACGTGGACCGCAAGCTGAAGAAGGTCAGTGGCCCTGAAATCCAGGGGAGGAGAGAGGGACCCCTGCCCAGGTCCTCCCCACAGCTGTTTGCCCTTCTTGCTCTAGCACTCAGGCCTCAAGTATGGAATTGACTAGAGCTGTAGGCTTGCTTTAGTCCAGAAGGCATGGAGGCCTGGGAAATGTTGGAGGACACTTCCAACAAAAAAGTGGCCTCATTTATAGTTGTAGAAAACAGAGTGTCATTCTGAATAGTATCACCCAGGGCAATCTATTGCCTGACTATTGCAAGACCATTTATTATACATTCCACGGGGATCTTTTGAAGAACCAGCCCTGTCCCCTCTCTTTTGACTTTTTTTCTTTCTCTCTTTCTTTCTCTTTCTCTTTCTCTTCTCTTCTCGTTTCTTTCATTTTGATGGAGTCTTACTCTGTCACCCAGACTGGAGCACAGTGAGGTGATCTGGGCTCACTGCAGCCTGTGCCTCCCAGATTCAAGCAATTCTTGTGCACCAGCCTCCTGAGGACCTGGGACTACAGGCATGCACCACCACGCCTAGCTAATTAAAACGATTTTTCTTTTTTTTTTTTTTGAGACAGAGTCTCACTCTGTTGCTCAGGCTGGAGTGCAGTGGTGCGATCTTGGCTCACTGCAAGCTCCGCCTCCCATGTTCATGCCATTCTCCTGCCTCAGCCTCCTGAGTAGCTGGGACTACAGGCGCCCCCACCGCGCCTGGCTAATTTTTTGTATTTTTAGTAGAGACAGCGTTTCACCGTGTTAGCCAGGATGGTCTCGATCTCCTGACCTCATGATCTGCCCGCCTCGGCCTCCCAAAGTGCTGGGATTACAGGTGTGAGCCACCATGGCTGGCCGATTTTTTTTTTTGGTAGGGACAGGGTTTCACCATGTTGCCCAGGCTGGTCTTGAACTCTGGAGCTCAGGCAGTTCGCCTGCCTCAGCCTCCCAAAGTGCTGGGATTAGAGGCATGAGCCACTGCGTCTGGTCTTGACTTTCATTTTGAAATAATTTCAAGTTACAGAAAAGGTGCGAGAATTGTACAAATAACTCCTATATATCTTTCACCAAGTTTGATACTTTGCCACATTTATTCTCTTTCTCCCCAACTCTTACTATTTGTGTGTGTAATTACTGTTTTGCTGAAAATAATTTATTATCCTGATTGCTGAACTGTTTGACAATATGTTGTTGACATTATGCTCCTAAGTACTTTAGTGAGCATTTCCTAAGAACATCATTTACTTAGTGCTGTTATCCAAGTCAGGGACATTAGCATTGTTAGAATTCTAAATAGTCCATATTTCAAGGCACTGATTGTCCCAATGATGTCCTTTACAGTGAACTTGATTTTCCTACTCTAGGCTCCGGTCCAGAATGCCACGTTGCATTTGGTTGTTCTGGCTCTGTTCATCTGGGTCAGTCCCTTGGGCTTTTTTTTCTCCATGACGTTGACATTTTGGAAGCATCCAGGCCGGTTGTGTTGTGCAGTGTCCCCTGACACGGGTTTATCTGGTCTTTTTTTTTTTTTTTTTTTGAGACGAAGTTTCACTCTTGTCGTCCTGCTGGAGTGCAATGGTGCGATCTCAGCTCACTACAACCTCCACCTCCCGGGTTCAAGTGATTCTCCTGCCTCAGCCTCCTGAGTAGCTGGGATTACAGGCACCTGCCACCACGCCTGGCTAATTTTGTATTTTTAGTAGAGACAGGGTTTCTCCATGTTGGTCAGGCTGGTCTCGAACTCCTGACCTCAGGTGATAAGCCCACCTCAGCCTCCCAGAGTTCCGGGATTACAGGCGTGAGTCACCGCGCCCAGCTGGTTTCTCTGATCTTTCTTCATGATTAGACTTGGTGTCTGTACTTTGGGGGGAATGTCACAGCAGTGATAGTGTGTCCTTCCTGTGCAGGATCTCAGGAGGCACGTGATGTCAGCTTGTCCCATGACTAGTGGTGTTGTCTTTGGTCACTTGGCTAGCCAGGTTTTTGCAATGGAGAGTTTTCCTTTTCATAGTGAATGTGTGGTCCTTGGGGAGATGCTCTGAGACTGTGTAAATATCTTGTCCCCTCACACACCTTCACTCAATCATTTTGTTACGGGATCTTTCGGGCGTCACTTTTCTGGCTGGAAACCTCCTTGGCCAGTGGTGCCTTTGCCCGAGTTCTTGTCCTGTGTCCAGGAAGAAGGAGGTAGGCAGACAAGTGGAGAGGAGCAAGATGAAGAGGAGCTTTATCGAGTGTTAAGACAGCTCAGAGGAGACCTGCAGGGGGCAGCTCCTCTGTAGGCAGGTGGTCTCGTCCAGTGTTCAGCTATCAGCCGTGAGGAGGCCCTGGAGAGGGTGGTTCCCCTCCGCAGGCAGGTTGTTCAGATGTCTGCAGGCCTCTGAAGCTCTCAGCAGAAAGGATAGCTCCATGGGTGGCCATGGGCAGGCCTGGAGGAGACGCTACAAGTCCCCACTCGTTTTGCAGTACTGGCAACCTGACCTCCAGCTGTCAGGCCCTCCCTGGCCTAAAGGAGGGACCTTACCGGGGACCTGCCCTCTTCTGCCCAGGAATGTGTCTGCCTCCTGCTGCCATTCATGGCACTGGGCTGGACCCCAACCCTTCTTTGAGATCAGAGTGGGTGCAAGAGAGGAGAGAGGCCAAGCAGCAGGAGCAGACACCCCTGAGCCTGCAGGGATCGGGGGGTGCTTTCCTGGGCCCCGAGGGTGCAGGCTGCAGAGAACTTCAGAGATGCCTAGGTCCCGTGGTTGGGAGGGTGGCCGCAGCGGCGCTCCGGGAGCTCCCACCCTGCCAACTCGGAAGGGGCAGGACCCTCGCTTGTGCCCGGCTGCGGCCTGCTCCTTGGAGTGGGAGGCCCAGGTCTGTAGCTGCGGGTTGGGTGGCTGCAGCTGCACCCAGGAGGGCAGACCCTGCCTGCTCCTGACCCCCTGCAGGAGCACAGAGAGGCTCAGATCCACAGCAGCAGTTTGGGCAGCTGTTGCCCTGCCCAGGAGGGCGGGGATACTGCCTGCTCTGTGGAGCAGAAGGCCTGGGTCTGCAACTGTGGTTCGGACGGCTGCAGCTGCATCCGGGGAGCTCCCACCCCAACTCAGAAGGGGCAGGGCTCCCACCGGCTGCCTGGAGTGTGCAGCCCCAGCCATTAGCTACTGCCATCAATTTTAGCATCCATGAATGATTCTTCCCTGAACGGTTATTACTGTAATGGCTGCAAAAGGGTGATTTAAAAAAACTCTATCATTTCTCCCACATTGATAAGATGGCATTTTCCTTAAGGAAACACTTCTCAGCCGGGTGCGGTGGCTCGTGCCTGTAATTCCAGCCCTTTGGGAGGCTGAGGCAGGCAGATCACCTGAAGTCAGGAGTTTGAGACCAGTCTGGCTAACATGGTGAAACCCCATTTCTACTAAAAATACAAAAAAGTAGCTGGGCGTGGTGGCAGGCACCTGTAATCCCAGCTACTTGGGAGGCTGAGGCAGGAGAATCACTTGAACCAGGGAGCCGGAGGTTGCAGCGAGCCAAGATTGCGCCATTGCACTCCAGCTTGGGCAACAAGAGTGTATATCCCCCTCCAACAAAAAAAAAAAAAAAAAAAAGGAAAAACTTCTGTTTCTCCTTGTCAGTGAGCATGAGTGTATTCTGACTTTATAGATGATAATCCGTAACTGCCATTCGTTTTAATGTTCAAATTGCCCCAGATTTGGTTGGGGGGGCCCCTTCAAGCTGGCTTCTGTGGCCTTTGGACACACCCCCTCACTTTTCGGGAGTACTTCCTCACTTTCTGGCACAGGAAGATAGCCTAGGTAATCTGGACCTTGTTCTGCCCCATCCCTGGGGTTGGCCATTGTTCTGAGGAGTCCCGATTCTTTCTAGGGAAGAGTAGGTGTGGAGGCACTAAGAGACTTCGTTGCTACTTGGGTGTCATTGCTTTGAGGCCCTTTCTCTGGAGAGAGCTAGGAAGCACACATATTTTATATGTTTTAAAATTCTATTTAGTTTTTGTAGAGATGGGGTCTTACTATGTTGTCCAGGCTGCTCTCAATCTCTTGGGCTCAAGTGATTCCCCTGCTTTGGCCTCACAAAGTGTTGGGATTACAGGCATGAGCCACTGCGCCTGGCTGACATATTTTACAATAGTGAGTTCACTTTGATGCCTCTGATTCCATTCCGGTGCCACCAGGTTTTTCCTGAGCATTCCTCATGTCATCTTTCTTTTTTGAGATGGAGTCTCGCTCTTGTTGCCCAGGCTAGAGTGCAATGGCGCGATCTTGGCTCACTGTAACCTCCGCCTACTGAGTTCAAGCGATTCTCCTGCCTCAGCCTCCCGAGTAGCTGGGATTACAGGCATGCGCCACCATGCCTGGCTAAGTTTTTGGATTTTTAGTAGAGACGGGGTTTCTCTATGTTGTTGAGGTTGGTCTCGAACTCCCAACCTCAGGTGATCTGCCTGCCTTGGACTCCCAAAGTCCTGGGATTACACGCGTGAGCCACTGCGCCTGGCCTCTTCATTTCATCTTTCTGGCTCTCTTCTCCCACAGTGGGAACCCCAGTTCCCAACCACATCAGCATACTTACTCATTTGCTGAGTCATATGATACATACGTAAGAATTACAGAATTGCCGCAGCCATACCACCACCCCCAAACCTGATAAATAGGGTTCAGGATTTGTTTGCAGTTTGTTTTGTCCTCTGAGAATATGAGTATTTATATATCTTTTCTTTTTTTTTGAGATGGAGTCTCTTTCTGTTGTCCAGGCTGGAGGGCAGTGGCCATGATCTTGGCTTACTACAACCTCTGTCTCCTGGGTTCAAGTGATTCTCCTGCCTGAGCCTCCCAAGGAACTGGGATTACAGGCATGCATAATCACACCCAGCTAATTTTTGTATTTTTAGGAGAGACAGAGTTTCACCATGTTGCCCACGCTGGTCTTAAACTGACCTCAGGTGATCCACCTGCCTCAGCCTCCCAAAGTGCTGGGATTACAGGCATGAGCGTCAGCCTATATTTTCAAATTATTCTATTCAGAAGTTATTTGGATTAGTTCCTTTTCTTTTGACCTTCTGTGTGGTTATTAATATAATAATAATAATAATTATTATTATTTTTTGAGTTGGAGTTTCGCTCTTGTTGCCCAGGCTGAAGTGCGATGGCACGATCTCGGCTCACTGTAACCTCTGCCTCCAGAGTTCAAGCGATTCTCCTGCCTCAGCCTCCCGAGTAGCTGGGATTACAGGCATGCGCCACCATGCCCGGTTAATTTTGTATTTTTAATAGAGATGGAGTTTCTCTATGTTGGCCAGGCTGGTCTCGAACTCCTGACCTCAGGTGATCTGCCCGCCTCGTCCTCCCAAAGTGCTGGGATTATGGGCGTGAGCCACTGCGCCTGGCCCTGTTAGTATTTTTAAATACAGTTAAGTTCACTTGCTTCCATTTGCATTCAGTTTTAGTTTTCTCTCCTCTCTTTATTGATTTAATTTCCTTTATGAATATGTAAAACATTAACAAGGTTCTCGAAACTGTTCTAAAAGGTTTCCTAGAGAAACGTCATTTCCTCTCCATCTCCCCCACCTCATTTCCACCCAGCCCCCATAGGTTACTAAATATTTTCTTAGTTTGTGGTTATCTACAGAAAGAGCCTTTTGATCCAGCTTATCAGTTTGTCTCATACCTCTTTAAAATCCCTTTCATGGGCAGTCACTAATGAGGAGGGTCCACATTTGGAAGGCTCAAGAGCTTTGCTCCTTATTAGAGAAGCATGGGGCCAAAAGGAAAGACTTTGAGCAATGAGGTTGTAAGAAGTGGCACTGATTTTTTTCTCCTCCCCCCACAGGAGATCCACCGCCTGCGGCACCTGGTCAGCTCCCTTATCCTCTCCTCCACCTCTGCCTACGCGGTCAGGTAGGGACTGCGGGTATCCTGGGGTTGTGGGACCCAGATGACTTAGGACATACCTTTCCATAAGGCAGTGGTGGGAAGGTTCAGGGCTCATGAAACAGACGTCAGAAGCTATTTTTTTCCCCCATAATATCCCCCTTTTCTCTCTCTCCCCCACCAGTTCCCCACCTCCACTCTCATGGTCCTGTTCTTTTTTTTTTTTTTTTTGAGACAGAGTCTGGCTCTGTCACCCAGGCTATAGTGCAGTGGTGTAATCTCGGCTCACTGCAACCTCCACCTCCCGGGTTCAAGCGATTCTCCCTTCTCAGCCTCCCGAGTAGCTTGGATTACAGGTGCTCGGCACTACGCCTGGCTGATTTTTGTATTTTTAGTAGAGATGGGGTTTCACCATCTTGGCCAGGTGGGTCTTGAACTCCTGAGCTCATGATCTACCCGCCTCTGCCTCCCCAGGTGCTGGGATTACAGGCATGAGCCATTGTACCCCACTGGTCCTGTTCTCTTTCTTGGGCATGTGAATTAACCTCTACTGACCCCATCTAGCACATAAGAATGCATCTAGTGGCCGGACGCGGTGGCTCACGCCTGTAATCCCCGCACTTTGGGAGGCCAAGGCAGGCAGATTGCTTGAGCTCAGGAGTTCAAGACCAGCCTGGCCAACATGGTGAAATCCCATCTCTACCAAAAATATAGAAACTTAGCTGGGCATTGTGGCGGTGGCGAGTGTCTGTGGTCCCAGCTACTTGGGAGGCTGAGGTGGGAGGATTGCTTGAGGCCTGGGGGCAGAGGTTGCAGTGAGCCGAGATTGCACCACTGCATTCTAGCTTGGGCAACAGAGTAAGACTCTGTCTCAGAAAAAAAAACAAAAAAAGTGCATCTAGCACATATATAGTGCAGCAGGGTTCCTGGAAGCATCTGGCGAATTTGTTATTTGTCAGCATTGGTTGCAAGGGACAGAGATTCTCTCGGGCCACCTTTAGATAGAGACACGCTGTAAGGAGTTGAGGAGCTGAAGCTGCTTTAGGTGTTGGCTTCTCTCTCCTTCTCTGGGGCTCTCATGAGCTCCATGCTCTCTCTCTCACTCCATCCCTGCCTCTTTCTCAGCTTCGACCTCTTCTCCTCTTGCTCCAAACGCTTCCTTACCTTCTACTGAGTTCTTCTCTGGCTTCTGTTTTCTCACAGTCCCTGATCGACATCAGTTGTGGCCTGGGTCTGCCTTAGGGTCTCTGTGACTTCTCTCTTTCTCTCTCTCTGTTAAAATAAACATGGCAAAATTCACCATTTTAAAGCACAGAATTTAGCAGCATTTAGTCCATTCACAGGGTCGTGCAACCGCACCACTTCTGTCTAGATCTGAAATATTTCCATCACTCCAAAAGGAAATTGTACCTGCCACCAGGAAGTGCAGGAATCCTCGCTTCTTAGTCTTACTTGGGAGAAAGAATTCTGCCTAGAGACTGATTTAATCAACAAAGAGAATTTACTGAAGGCAAATAGAGAACAGAGAGTTTACATAGAGAGAGACAGTACACTGAAGGATGAGGAGAGCGGGCTGCTGAAAGAACGTGAGCCAGCAGCACACTGAGAGTTTTGTGTTGGGTTTTTAATATGATGTAGGACTCTTTTGAAGTTCTTGCCTCCGTCTTTTTTTTTTTTTTTTTTTGAGACAGAGTTTCGCTCTTGCCACCCAAGCTAGAGTGCAGTGGTGCGATCTCGGCTCGCTGCAATCTTCACCTCCCAGGTTCAAGCGATTCTTTTGCTTCAGCCTCCCGAGTAGTTGGGATTACACGCGTGCACCACCAGGCCTGGCTAATTTTTGTATTTTTAGTAGAGATGGGGTTTCACCATGTTGGCCAGGCTGGTCTCAAACTCCTGACCGCAGGTGATCCTCCTGCCTCCCAGAATGCTGGGATTACAGACTGAGTCACTGTGCCCAGCCAGTTCTCTGCTTTTTGTGACCACAGGATAACTGCAACCTGATTCAGCCCCATTCCTGTGATCCCAGGCTGGCCCTGTCCATCTGGGACACCAGCTGACTCCACCCCGCCCCCACCACCTCTGGCTGACCCCGCCCATCCCCAGGACCCCAGGCCGACCCCAGCCCAGCCTCCAGTCATCCTGACCCCGGCTGACCACCCCCAGGGAGGAGGCGAAGGCCAAGATGGGCTTGCTGCGGGAGCGCGCGGAGAAGGAGGAGGCCCAGAGTGAGACGGAGGCGCAGGTGCTGCAGCGGCAGATCTCACACCTGGAACAGCTGCACCGCTTCCTCAAGCTCAAAAACAACGACCGGCAGCCAGATTCCGATGTCCTGGAGAAGCGTGAAAAGCAGGGTGAGGCCGGGGCTGCCGCCTTTGCATCTTGAAGGCCTGGCCGCCCCTGGGGCACCTGCAGCACGCCTTGGTGCCCCGGGCGGGACCACGCTTTGCTCACCCTCGCCCAGGAGGTCTCTGTGCTGGAGGCCACCCAGGAGGCCGACCTGCTGTTCTCTCTTCCCCCAGCCCGGGAGGTGGCCGAGGGCGTCCGGAAGACCTCCCAGGAGAGGCTGGTGCTTCGCTACGAGGACGCCCTGAATAAACTGTCCCAGCTGATGGGGGAGAGCGACCCCGACCTGTTGGTGCAGAAGTATTTGGAGAGTGAGTGGGGCCCGGGGTGGGGGGAGGAGGCCCAGGGGCCCCGGCACCCCCTGAGTCCAGTGCAGGCTGGCTTCAGCTCTGGCTCTGGGGACTCCTCCACCTGCACTGGAGGAGCAAGGTGTCAGGCCTGGGACCCGCCACCCATGTCCACTGGCGTCTTACTGTGGCCCTGTCTCTGCCTTTCCCCATCCCCTCCTCACTCCTGGGCCTGGGGTCACTCTCCACATCCTTCCCTCAACCCCATCCCTCTCTGTTTCTCTCCTTACCCATATCTACCGTTCTCCCTGCCTGCGTCTCCCCATCTCCCTTGCTGTTACCGAGTCTCTCCGGCTTTCCCTTTGCCTTGCTATGTGTTTCCGTGTCGCTCCTGCCGTATCTTCCCACGCCTCTTGGTCTCTGTGATTCCTCTCTGTTCATCTCTCTGGCTTGGTCTCTCTGTGTGGCCTTCCTCATCCTCACTTTCTCTGGCCTTCTGTGTGCCTCTCTGTCTCTCTTCTCTCTGTATGTGTGTCTCTGTCTCCCTGTCTCTGGGCCCCGCCTTGCCCCACTTTCCCAGTCGAGGAGCGCAACTTTGCTGAGTTCAACTTCATCAATGAGCAGAACTTGGAGCTGGAGCATGTGCAGGAAGAGATCAAGGAGGTGAGTGAGGCCTGCCCTCTCCATCTCCTCCTCTTCTCCCTGCCTCCCTGCCCCTCCCCTCCCTCAGCCCCCCTCCTGCCTCTTCTTCCCAGCCCCCCTCCTGCCTCTTCTTCCCAGCTCCACACCCCCCAGCTCCCGAGGCTGCCTTCTGGCCCAACATTCAGCCCTGTCCCCACAGATTCAGGAGGCATTGGTGAGTGCACGTACCAGCAAGGATGACCGGCATTTGCTGCAGGAGCAGCAGCTGAATGCGTTGCAGCAGCGCATGGACAAGGTGCGCTTGGAGGCTGAGCGCCTTGAGGCCCGCTTCCAGGATGTGCGGGGACAGCTGGAGAAGCTCAAGGCTGGTGAGCACCCACGGGCGCCCCCTCCCAAACCTGGCTTCTCCACTTGGAAGGACACCATTAGCCTGTGGGGCTTGGAGGCATTGCATGGACAACCTGGTTCACTTGCTTATTGGTTGCTCCACATCTGTCCATGGTTCCAACCAGGGTCTATCCCTCCAACTGTCTCATGTCCGTCTATCCATCCAGCATCTGTCCCTCCAGCTGTCCTACACCCACCCATCCATCCATCCATCCACCCATCCATCAGTGCATCCATCCATCCATCTAGGGTTGATCTCTCCAACTGTCCCATATCCATCCATCCATCCATCCATCCATCCATCCAGAGACTGTCCCTCCTCAACTGTCCTGTCCATCATCCATCCGGGATTTTATTCCCTCATCTGTCCTATATCTATCTCTCCATTCCAGGGATCTATCCACTCCATCTGTACCATATCCATCTATCTATCCAGGGTCTATGCCTTCATCTGTTCTATATCTATATCCATCCATCCAGGATCCTACCCCCTCCATCTGTCCTATATCCATCATCATCCATCCATCCATCCATCCATCCATCCATCAGAGACTGTCCCTCCAACTGTCCTATCCATCATCCATCAAGGTTATTCCCTCCATCTGTCTATATCTATCTCTCCATTCCAGAGTCTATCCCTCCATCTGTGCCATATCCATCTATCTATCCAGGGTCTATGCCTTGTCTGTTCTATATCTATCCATCCATCCAGGATCTACCCCTCCATCTGTCCTGTATCCATCCATCCATCCATCCAGGGTCTATGCCTCCAACTGTCCTTATCCATCATTCATCCAGGATCTATTCCTTCATCTGTCCCATATCTATCTATCCATCCAGGGTCTATCCCTCCATCTGTCCTATATCCATCTGTCCGTCCATCCATCCATCCATCCATCTATCCATCCGTCCATCCATCCAGGATCTGTTCCTCCAACTGTCGCATGTCCATCCATCCATGCAGGAGTCTATCCCTCCAACTGTCATGTCCATCCATCCATGCAGGGTCTATCCCTCCAACTGTCCCATGTCCATCCATCCATCCATCCATCCATCCATCCATCCCTCCCTCCATCCATTGTCTATCCGTCCGTCTGCCTCCAACAGCCCCACATCCATCTGTTCATCCATTTATCTGCAATGACATTTGACTTTTGTCTTCCTAGTCTTAGTCTTAGTTACCAAATTTCTTCTTAGTCTTAGTTACCAAAAATGTTATTATTTGTAAAGAAAATGATGATAAAATATAATAGCAATGTTTATTATGTGTCATTCACTCTGCTAGGCACTTAGGCATTATTCCACTTGTTTCACAAAACACTGAAAAACAGATGCTGTCCCTCCCACTGTCCCATATCCGTCATCCACCCATCCATTCATCTATCCAGTATTCATCTATGGATCATCCGTGTACATCTGTCTGTCTATAAATGCCTAGCAATGGGACTGACGGGTCTTAGGGTGGGTATATGTTGATATTTGTTGGAAAATGCCAAACAGTTTTCCAAACTGGTCACAAGATTTTATGCCCTCACCTATGTGAGCATATGGGGGTCCCAGATGTTCCGCACCCTCTCCACTGCTTCCTAGTGGCAGCCATTTTTTATTTTATTTTATTTTTGAGATGGAGTCTTGCTCTGTCACCGGGCTGGAGTGCAATGGTGTGATCTCGGCTCACTGCAACTTTCACCTCCTGGGTTCAAGCAATTCTCCTGCCTCAGCCTCTCGAGTAGCTGGGACTACAGGTGTGTGCCACCACGCCCAGCTAATTTTTGTATTTTTAGTAGAGTCAGGGTTTCACCATGTTGGGTAGGATGGTCTTGATCTCTTGACCTCGTGATCTGCCCGCCTCAGCCTCCCAAAGTGCTGGGATTACAAGCGTGAGGCACTGTGCCCGGCCATCGGCCATTTTAATATTAGCCATCTAACATTTGTGCAGTACTATCTCTATTAATTTAATTGGCATTTCCCTAGTGACTAATAATATTGAGTATCATATTGGCCATTCAGATATCTTTGTGAAGTTCCTGTTCAATCTTGTGCACTCGTTTTTTTAAAAGTTGGGTTTTCTTGCTATAACTGAGTTGTAGGAGTTCTTTGTATATTCTAGACACTAGACTTTTGGTAAATATTTTCTCCTATGCTGTAGCTTGCCTTTTCACTTTTTTTGGTGATGAACTGAAGTTTCTTAGTTTCGAGATCTAATTTATGAAATTTTCTTTTTGTAGTTAGTGACTTTGTGCCCTGCCTGAGAAATTTTTGCCTGTCCTGAGTTTACAAAGGCATTGTGCTGTGTTTTCTCCTAGAAGTTTCATTGTTTGAGCTCCCACATTGAAGTCTGTGACTTATGCCAAATTGATTTGCATATATGGTATGAGGTAGGGGTCTAGAGTTTCCTTTTTAAAAAAATTTTTAGATTTTTTTCATTTATTTATTTTTTTGAGAGGAATTTTGCTCTTTTGCCCAGGCTGGAGTGCAGTGGTGCAATCTTGGCTCACTGCAATCTCTGCCACTCAGGTTCAAGCAATTCTGCCTCAGCCTCCCGAGTAGCTGGGATTATAGGTGCCCGCCACCACACCCAGCTAATTTTGGTATTTTTAGTAGAGATGGGGTTTCGCCATGTTGGCCAGGCTGGTCTCAAACTCCTGACCTCAGGTGATCCACCCGCCTCAGCCTTCCAAAGTGCTGGGATTACATGTATGAGCCACTGCACCTGGCCCCTCCCTTTTTTATTTTAGAGATGGGATCTTACTATGTTGTCCAGGCTAGTCTTGAACTCCTGGATTCAAGTGCTCCTCCTGTCTTGGACTCCCAAAGTGCTGGGATTACAGGCATAAGCCACCACACCTGGCCGAGTTTGTTTTTTTTTTTTTTGAGACGGGAGTCTCGCTCTGTCGCCCAGGCTGGAGTGCAGTGGCCAGATCTCGGCTCACTGCAAGCTCCGCCTCCGGGGTTCACACCATTCTCCTGCCTCAGCCTCCCAAGTAGCTGGGACTACAGGCACCCGCCACCTCGCCCAGCTAGTTTTTTGTATTTTTTTTAGTAGAGATGGGGTTTCACCGGGTTAGCCAAGATGGTCTTGATCTCCTGACCTCGTGATCCGCCTGTCTCGGCCTCCCAAAGTGCTGGGATTACAGGCGTGAGCCACCACACCTGGCCTCATTTTTCTTATTTTTCAGGAAGTAGCCATGCAGAGCACTCAGGAGTCAGGCTGTCCTGTTTTTTTTTTTGTTTTTTTTGTTTTTTTAAACATTGTTAGCTTTTATTATTTATTTATTTATTTATTTGTTTGTTTGTTTGTTTATTTGAGACGGAATCTCATTCTGTCAGCCAGGCTGGAGTGCAGTGGTGTGATCTTGGCTCACTGCAATGTCCGTCTCCCGGGTTCAAGCGATTCTCCTGCCTCAGCCTCTCCAGTGACTGGGATTACAGGCGTGCACTACCACGCCCGGCTAGTTTTTTTGCATTTTTAGTAGAAACAGGGTTTCACCATGGTGGCCAGGGTGGTCTCAAACTCTTGACCTCAAATGATCTGCCTGCCTTGGCTTCCCAAAATGCTGGGATTACAGGCGTGAGCCACTGCACCCAGCCTGTCCTGGGTTTGAATCTCAGCTCCACCAATTATGAACCTGGGTGTGTGACTTCCTCCTTGTGAGCCCCTCTGGGCATGGGGATGGCAGTGCCTTCTTTGCAGGGTTGTCATGAGAATTAGAAGGGATGACAGATGGAGAGAAAGGTGGGGGGTGGTGGGGAGCGATCTGGAGAGCCCCCTCGGGGCACACCGTAGGAGCTCAAATATGGGCAGGTCCTCCTTCCCGCTGTCGTGACGGCTGAGCCGAGCCCTGTGCTAGGTGATGTGGGCACAGTGGGGAGAGGCCCTGGAGGGGACTGACCTGAGCACTGGGCACTCATCACTCAGGGGCTAGGATGGAGGACGCCCAGGCTCTGGGGGCGAGAGGAGGCCGTAACTCAGTCTGCAGTGCAAGACCATAATTTGTGGGGCCCAGTGCAGAACGAGGGGCCCCTTATTAAAAAATTGCCGAGACTTTCAAGATAGGAAGAGCAGCAGCGTGTCAAGCCAAGTGCAGGCCCCTAGCCACCACCTGGGTCTCACACTCACCAAGCCAGCTCTGCTGGGGTCACTGGGAAGGCTTCCTGGAGGCAGTGATACTTGAGGCTGACTTTGAAGGACAAGCCAGGGAGAGAGGGATGCACAGCAGTGCCCTCCCCCTGCCTGGCTGGCTGAGCTCAGGTGACTCCCTTTTGGTCTCTGAGCCTTGATCACAGTCTCTGTAGAATGGGGCAGTGAGGACCTGAGTGGGGGAGGGCTAGCACCCAGCTGGCGGTGCCAGATCCCTGACAGCTGGCCCTCCATGACGCAGACATCCAGCTCCTCTTCACCAAGGCCCGTTGCGACAGCAGCATGATCAATGACCTACTTGGGGTCAAGACCGGCATGGCGGACCGGGACATGGGCCTCTTCCTGAGCCTCATCGAGAAGCGGCTGGTGGAGCTCCTCACAGTGCAGGCCTTCCTGGATGCCCAGGTGGGAGGCAGCAGGGAGCCGGGATGGGAGGCAGGTCTCGGGGTGACCCAGCTGACCGCAGGCTTCCACACCCTCCAGAGCCTCACCTCCCTGGCTGACGCCGCCCTCCTGGCGCTGGGCCAGAGCCTGGAGGACCTTCCGAAGAAGATGGCCCCACTTCAGCCCCCTGACAATCTGTGAGGCGCAGGGCAGGAGGGACCCAGAGGGGACGGGGCTTCCATGGGGGCAGAGGGAACACACAGGATAGAGGGTTTTGGGGGGCTTTTGGAGACTGGCTGGTGGATGTGGCCCTGGGGGTTTAGAATATGAAGTGTGTGCTTTGAGGCAGCCAGAAGGAGTAGGGGCTTGGCACCTTTGTGTGGGAAGACGGGGCCCCGGGTACCCCAGAAGGGGAGGGCACTCAGGGCTGGTGGGAGAATGACTGAGGTTCCCGGGGTTTAGCAGGAAGGGCCACTGGCCTTTTTGAGGGCTGGGAGTCTAGTCTTTTCCGGTTTTCCTTCTCCTCCCCAGAGAAGACCCCCCAGGTTTTGAGGCCAGCGATGACTACCCCATGAGCAGGGAGGAGCTGCTGAGCCAAGTGGAGAAGCTGGTGAGATTGGGGCCCTCGGGGGTGGGGCCAGGCCTCAGTGTGCGTCGGGGCCCAGCTCACCTTCCCTGCAGGTGGAGCTCCAGGAGCAGGCAGAGGCGCAGCACCAGAAGGACCTGGCCGACGCCACCGCGAAGCTGGACGGCACCCTGAGCGCGGACCTGGCCAGCACCCAGAGGCCTGGCTCCAGTACCGTCCTGGTGCCCACCAGGCAATCCCATACCATCCCTGGGTCCATCTTGAGCCACAAGACTAGCAGAGACCGTGGCTCTCTTGGCCGCGTCACTTTTGGTCCCCTCAAATCCAGCCCAGGGCATTTGCCCAGTCACGTCACGCACGGTGACCCCAGCACTGGCCACGTGACCTTCGGCTCCACCAGTGCCTCGAGTGGGGGCCACGTGACCTTCAGACCTGTCAGCACCAGCAGCTACCTGGGCTCCACTGGATACGTGGGGTCCAGCAGCGGCGGAGAAAACACAGAGGGTGGTGTGGAGAGCGGAGGCACAGCGTCTGATTCCAGCGGAGGCCCCGGGTCCAGCAGAGGCCACGTCTCCAGCACCGGCCCTGCCTCCAGCACTGGCCCTGGCTCCTCCACCAGCAAAGACTCCCGGGGCTAACACGAGGGGCCTGCAGTCCCCACCCTGCCCTGGCTCTCTGTAGGGGTCTTTTTTTGTGTCTCTACTTCCCTGTTTGCCTTGTGGGTCCCTGTCTTTTTCTCCCAGTCCCAGGCCTCTGTCTTTTTGCCCCTCTAACTGTTTTCATCTGCCCTTCATCACCGCCTCACCTCTGTCTCCTGGTTCCTTTCTCTCTGCTCCTGACCCTGCTTTTCCCTCTGCCTCCCGATCTGCTGCTCTCTCGGCTTCCCAGTCAGTGTCCGTCCTTCTTGTCTCCATATCTGCCTCTTCCCTGTCTGCTGAGCCCTGACCCCCTGTGGATTCCCCACCTTCTGTTGCTGGCTCTCTCTCCTCATCTCCATCTCCCAGGCTCTGCATACATCCTGTGTCCCTCTGTCTGCAGCTCCTCACTCCCCAAGAGCCCTCTAGTGCAGACAGGCATGGGAAAAGTCAGGGCGAAGATGCCAGGTTCAGCATGGGAAAATGGGACTGTGGAAATAAAGCCTATGTGTGGAGAGCCGGCTTCAGGCATGGCTGCTTCCTCTGCCTCCGGCCTGGGGGTAATCTGTGACCCTGTCCCGATTCCCTGCCATTCATTCATTCGCTCACTCACTCATTCAGCATTCTTACTTATTTATTGAGATGAAGTTTCCCTCTTGTTGCCCAGGCTGGAGTGCAGTGTCACGATCTCAGCTCACTGCAACCTCTGCCTTCCAGGTTCACGCCATTCTCCTGCCTCAGCCTCCCAAGTAGTTGGGATTACAGGTGCCCACCACCACGCCTGGCTAATTTTTGTACTTTTAGTAGAGATGGGGTTTCACCATGTTGGGCAGGCTGGTCTTGGACTCCTGACCTCAGGTGATCTGCCCACCTCAGCCTCCCAAAATGCTGGGATTACAGGCTTGAGCCACCATGCCGGGCCTATTCATCCATTTTTCTGAGACCTCTCCTGGAGCTGTGTTGGTCAGGGCAGTCCCAGCTGCAGATTCTCCATGGTCCTCAGGCAGCAGAGGTTTCTCTCCTTTGTGGGCCAGCTAAGCGCTGTCCTCCGTATCACCCGTGTACCCCAGGCCCATGGCACAGCCATCATCTGGAATGCTGCCAGTCCTGTGGTACGGGAAGAAGAGAGGATGGCACAGCAGGCAGTGACTTGCGAGGCTTGGACCTGATAGGACACCTGTCGTCTTAGCTTACACTCAGCCAGAGTGGGTCCCCTGGTCATCCCGAACGTCACAGGGGCACCGGGAAGCGTAGTCTTTTCGTGTGTCTGGAAGGAGAGAAAGGAAGGATTGTGTATGGACAGCCCTAACTCCAGTCGCAGGGTCACAGAGAAGAAGCTGACCTTGACCCTTTCCTGCAGCGGGGGTGGGTGTAGGAGTGAGGGGGCTTAGAACACCATGATAACTCTTTCCTGTAGTTGAGTCATGCCAAATTCCCTGTCAACATTTAATCCGTTGGTGTCAAAGCTATATAAAAACTTCTTTAAAAAATCAGGCTGGGCGTGGTGGCTCACGCCTGTAATCCCAGCACTTTGGGAGGCTGAGGTGGGTGGATCACTCGAGCCCAGGAGTTCAAGACCAGCCTGGTGAACATGTGAAACCCTGCCTCGACTGAAAATACAAAAATTAGCAGAGCATGGTGATGTGCACCTGTCTTCCCAACTACTCCGGAGGCTGAGGCATGAGAATTGCTTGAATCTGGGAAGCAGAGGTTGCAGTGAGCCGAGATCACAGTACTGCACTCTAGCCTGGGTAATAGAGTGAGACTGTCTCAAAAAAAAAAAAAAAAAGTTCAAATCCAAACAGATAATCCATCATCCGCCTTCCTAATCCAGGAATGTAGCACCCTGAGCCTCCCCTTAAAATGGCTTGATAATAGTACATCCTTTTTTGTGTGAGAATACAATGAATTTATACACACAGCCTTAGAACAGTGCCTGGGCGTGGTGGCTCACGCCTGGAATCCCAGCACTTTGGGAGGCCGAGGTGGGCAGATCATCTGAGGTCAGGAGTTCGAGATCGGCCTGGCCAACATGGTGAAACCCTGTCTCTACTGAAAATATAAAAATTAGCCGGGTGTGGTGGCGCATGCCTGTAACCTCAACTACTTGGGTGGCTGAGGCAGGAGAATCACTTGAACCCGGGAGGCGGAGGTTGCAGGGAGCCGAGACCGTGATACTGCACTCCAGCCTGGGCGACAAGAGTGAAACTCCATCTCAAAAAATAAATAAATCAATCAATAAAAATAAATTGTCTTGATAATAGTACATACTGTTTTGTGTGAGAATAAAATGAACTGATACACAGCCTTAGAATAGTACCTGGCATGTAGTAAAAGCTCAGAAATATATGTGACTATTAGTAGAACAGTGATAAAGATGAAAGTGTAGTGTTTTCTATTTATTTATTTATTCATTCATTCATTCATTTTTGAGTCTCACTCTGTCACCCAGGCTGGAGTGCAGTGGTGTAATCTCGGTTCACTGTAACCTCTGCCTCCCAGGTTCAAGCAATTCTCTTGCCTCAGCCTCCCAAGTAGCTGGGATTACAGGCACCTGCCACTATGCCTGGCTAATTTTTTTTTTTTTTTGTATTTAAGAGGGGGTTTTACCATGTTGGCCAGGCTGGTCTCGAACCCCTGACCTCAAGTGATGCTCCCATCTCAGCCTCTCAAAGTGCTGAGAATACAGGCATGAGCCACTGAGTCTGGCCTGTGTTCAGCAATATTTGAGCCAGTTTTCCTTACAGAAAGAGAAATACTTATTTTTGTGTTTTAAATAAAACTGGTGTAGGAAAGTTAAAAAAAAAAAAAAAAAAAGACTCGATTTCTCCCCTTACAGCTGCACAGGAGGGGACATCCACACAGCTTTCCTCATTCATTTGATAAATGTTTATTGAGCATGTACTGTGTGCCATATATTGTACTAGGTTCTGGGGATGGGAGAGTAAAGGAGAAAGTTGAAAATGGCATTTCAGGAGGGAGGTGGAAAGGAGCTCCTCTGAGGCATGGCTCCTGGCAGTGGAGCTGCTATTCTTCCTCCCTGGGGGCCCAGGAAGTCTCATCTTGGTGTGGAGCTGAGTCTGTGACCACCAGCCCTAACTACCATTTCAGAGCGATTTCCTCCTCTTTCCTTCCAAAGACAGCAGAGCAAGCACACCAGACCGAGGCTTCTGATTTGCTCCCCATGATACAGCATGAGCCACTGAGTCTGGCCTGTGTTCAGCAATATTTGAGCCAGTTTTCCTTACAGAAAGAGAAATACTTATTTTTGTGTTTTAAATAAAACTGGTGTAGGAAAAGCTAAAAAAAAAAAAAAGACTCGATTTCTCCCCTTACAGCTGCACAGGAGGGGGACATCCACACAGCTTTCTCATTCATTTACAAATGTTTATTGAGCATGTACTGTGTGCCATATATTGTACTAGGTTCTGGGGATGGGAGAGTAAAGGAGAAAGTTGAAAATGGCATTCAGGAGGGGAGGTGGAAAGGAGCTCCTCTGAGGCATGGCTCCTGGCAGTGGGAGCTGCTATCTTCCTCCCTGGGGGCCCAGGAAGTCTCATCTTGGTGTGGAGCTGAGTCTGTGACCACCAGCCCTAACTACCATTTCAGAGCGATTTCTCCTTTCCTTCCAAAGACAGCAGAGCAAGCACACCAGACCGAGGCTTGATTTGCTCCCCATGCAAAACAGCTTCATAGACCACCTCACAGTTTGACCGACTCAGGCTAACCACAGCTGTCTGTCATCTCAAGGATCCTGGTCCTACACCGAGCAGGTTCACCGCTCTACCTTCCCCTTGACCGGCTGGCTCACACTTATAGATGGTCAACCCTGCAGCACCCAGCTCCAATACATCAAAGGCCACTTTTAGAGACGCTGAGAATTCAACCTAGATTTTTTAGTTTTTTTTTTTTTTTTTTTTTGAGACGGAGTCTCGCTCTGTCGCCCAGGCTGGACTGCAGTGGCCGGATCTCAGCTCACTGCAAGCTCCGCCTCCCGGGTTTACGCCATTCTCCTGCCTCAGCCTCCCGAGTAGCTGGGACTACAGGCGCCCGCCACCTCCCACCTCGCCCGGCTAGTTTTTTGTATTTTTAGTAGAGACGGGGTTTCACCGTGTTTGCCAGGATGGTCTCGATCTCCTGACCTCGTGATCCGCCCATCTCGGCCTCCCAAAGTGCTGGGATTACAGGCTTGAGCCACCGCGCCCGGCCTAGTTTTTGTTTTTTTTGAGACAGGGTCTTGCTCTGTTGCCCAGGCTGGAGTGCAGTGGTGCAATCTCGGCTTGCTCCAGCCTCCACCTCCCAGGTTCAAGTGATTCTCATGCCTCAGCCTCCTGAGCCGCTGGGACTACAGGTGTGTGCCACCAACCCCGGCTAATTTTTGTATTTTTCGTAGAGATGGAGGTTTCCCCATGTTGGCCAGGCTGGTCTTGAACTCCTGGCCTCAAGTGATCCTCCCGCCTTGGCCTCCCAAAGTGAAAAAGACATTTTAAAGTTTGACCTCTGGAATGCCTTTAATTTACGTGGTGTAGTCTAAGAGAATAGCAGGTGAGTGCAGCTCAATCTTATCAGCAAAAGTGGAGGAAGGACTGAATTAAATTGTACTCAATAGCAGCGAAATTAGGGGTATTTAATCATTTTCCTCCTCCAGGAGTGAGGCAGAAATGGGCACTGCCACATCCAGGCTGTGTGGTCTTCGGCCAGTGTCTTCAGCACTCTGAGCTGTGACTCATCCTGAAATCAGAGCTGGCAGCGAATCCCAGAGGCAGCTTTGTGTGGTGGGGAAGGCTTACTGGGAGGCAGTGTGGGTGTGAACCTGTTCTTCATCATAATCTCTGTCAAGTGAAAAAACATGGGGATAGTCTAGAACAGTGGAAAACCGTATCCCAGAGCCTTAGAGAGTTAGGAAACCATTTTAAGGGAAACTGACCAGCATTTAAAAATAGGAGTGAGCCAGGAAAAGTGGCTCACCCCTGTAATCGCAGCACCCTGCGGGGCCGAGGTGGGTGGATCACCTGAGGTCAGGAGTTCAAGACCAGACTGGCCAACATGATGAAACCCCATCTTTACTAAAAATACAAAAATTAGCTGGGCGTGGTGGTGCGTGCCTGTAATCCCAGCTGCTCAGGAGGCTGAGGCAGGGGGATCACTTGAACCTGGGGGAGAGAGGTTGCAGTGAGCCAAGATCATGCCTGGGTGACAGCGACACTCTGTCTTAAAAAAAAAAAAAAAAGAAATAGAGTGGAATATAAAGCATCGTGTAATACTGGGTGGTATTTTTAAAACTTTTTTTTTTTTTTTTAGATGGAGTCTTACCCTGTTACTCAGGCTGGAGTGCAGTGGCGTGATCTCAGCTCACTGTAACCTCTGCCTCCTGGGTTAAAGCAATTCTCTGCCTCAGCCTCCTCAGTAGCTTGGATTACAGGTGCCCACCACCACACCCGGCTTTTTTTTTTTTTTTTTTTTTTTTTTTTTTTTTTAGTAGAGATGGGGTTCACCATCTTGGCCAGGCTGGTCTGGAACTCCTGACCTCGTGATCCACCCGCCTTGGCCTCCCAAAGTGCTGGGATTACAGGCGTGAGCCACTGTGGCCGGCCTAAATTTTGTTTTTAATTGTACATATTTATGGGATGCGGTGTGATGTTTCGATACATATATAAATTGTGTAGTGATCAAATCAAGGTTATTAGCAAATCCATCATCCCAGACGCTTGTTATATCTTTGTGGTGAGAACATGCAAAATGTTCTAGCTATTTTGAAGTATACAATCCATTATTGTTGACTATAGAGGGTGGTATTCTTTTGTAACAGTGTGCTGATGCGACCGGGCGCGGTGGCTCATGCCCGCAATCCCAGCACTTTGGGAGACCGAGGCGGGCGGATCACTTGAGGCCGGGAAATCGAGACCAGCCTGGCTAACATGGTAAAACCCCATCTCTACTAAAAATAAAAAATTAGCCAGGCGCTGTGGCGGGCGCCTGTAATCTCAGCTACTCAGGAGGCTGAGGCAGGAGAATTGCTTGAATCCTGGAAGCGGAGGTTTCTGTGGGCCCAGATCGTGCCACTGCATTCCAACCCGGGCAACAGAGCAAGACCTTGTCTCAAAAAAAAAAAAAATGCTGATGCAAAATGATTTCTTACTGGGTGTCAGAATTTTGGAAGCCACTGGTAGACAGTCCTTAGTTTCACACAATGATTTTCAGACAACTGCCTATTCGTCAATTCCAACCACCTCGCCCCACCGCCAAAATCGAACGTTTCTGGTGTCCCGGCGGCGCCGCCTTAGCAGGATCCGCCGCCAGGTGGCGCGCGCCCCCCGCCCGGAGTGGGTTTTGTCCCATCCCGGACTTAGATCTTCCAAGACAGTGATTTCCTTCTGTTCGGGTCTCTTCCCGAGGATCCGCTTTACTCGTACTAGAAGCTCTGACCTCGAATACAGTTCCAGAAGCAGAACCCTGCAGGGGGTTTCAGGCGGCCGAGAAGGGAAGTGGCTCTCCTAAGACCGTCCTGGCTTCTGTCCACGGCGCTCATTAAATGCCTCCCACGCCAGACGTGGTCCCCGTTCCCGGAGCTGGCGTCCCAGGGGTAAGGACACGCACGAACCCTCCTGCCCCCATTCGCGCCCCGTCAGTGCAGGGAGGCTCCGGCCTGGGGCTGAAGAGCCGAGTCGCTCGTGCCTGACAGCACGGGGTCGAGCCCCTCCCGGCCACCTGTTGGCTGTGGGATCTTGGGCATCGTGCTTGGCCTCGCTCTGCCTTGGTTTCCCCCACTGTAGTGATAGTGATAACAGCAGCCACTCCATAGGGTTGCAGGCGTTGCATGAGTTAATAGATGCAAAGCGCTCAGAAGGGGGCCTGGCGTGTGTTTGCTAAACCGATTGTTGAAAATTCTCAATTTACATCTGTGAGAACTGAGGATCAGTTGGGGGTAGGGGTGGGGAACCCCCAAAGTCGGCTAAGTTCAGCCTCAGCGACTGGAGACGGGAGGGGTGTTCCCTCACCTACAGATATTTCCCCGCCTCCCGCGCCGGCCCCCTCCACCCCCAGCTGAATCCAGGCATTCTGATTTCAGTCATGGTCCTTCTCCTCCGGACAGCGCTCCCTGGGGGTGGGAGTGGACCCAGGCCCCTTGGCAAGGTCTGGGGTTGCCCTGGCGGAGCAGCCTCCCCTCCTCCTCTTCATTCCTTCCAGGATGGGGAGGGCCACGAGTCATCCAGATTCTATGATAAAGCGGCAGATTCCTGGGAAATGCAGGCAGCAGGGGTCCGGGAGAAAAGGCCAAGCTGGAGTCCGCTCAGTCACAGTGGGGGTCCCCGACCTGCAGGCCCTCCCCAAACACTGAAAGCTGAACTTAGCAGTGCTGGGTCATGCAGAATGGGGGCCTAGGAGGACCTCTGCTCTTACCAGTGGCATTTCTCTTTTCTCTCTCCCGTTTTCTCTTTTTTTTTTTTTTTTTTTTTTTTTTGAGACAGAGTCCTGCTCTGTCGCCCAGACTGGAGTGCAGTGGTACAATCTCAGCTCACTGCAACCTCTGCCTCCTGGGCTCAAGTAATTCTCCTGCCTCAGCCTCCCGAGTAGCTGGGACTACAGGTGCCTGCCACCATGCCTGACTAATTTTTGTATTTTTAGTAGAGACGGGGTTTCACCACGTTGGCGAGGCTGGTCTTGAACTCCTGACCTCAAGTGATCCACCCGCCTCGGCCTCCCAAAGTGCTGGGATTACAGGCGTGAGCCACCACGCCCAGCCAACAATGACTTTTGTAAAATGCTCATTGGGAGGGCTTTGCAAAATTGGTATCGGCAGCCGTGTTTATAATCTCTAAAGTGAGATGCAGAACCAAAGTCTCTGGAATGAATATAACTAAGAAAGAATGAATGCCACCTGCACCCTACCTGCTTAGCCTTTCTTTTCCTGAAAGAAGGCACAAAGAAATATTCTATGCCATGCCATCATATGTAGCATAAACATCATCAAAACTAGAAAACAGGGTATTTGGGGATTTCTGCATAGGTGCAAATGTAAAGATGAGGGAGGGGGTGAATGATAACAAAATGAACCACAGTGGTTTCCTCTGGGGGCTGGAGATATTGTCTGTGAGGCACAGATGTGAATTGCCTGGCATTTAATGATGAGCTGTTTACGGGCTTGGATTGTGGGTATAAGGGTAATCACTTTATTAACTTTAAAACGTCGTGGTGTCAGGTGCCTGTAATCCCAGCTACTCAGGAGGCTGAGGTAGGAGAATCACTTGAACCTGGGAGGCAGAGGTTGCAGTGAGCTGAGATCGCACCACTGCACTCCTACCCAGGCAACAAGAGCAAAACTGCATCTCGGAAAAAAAAAAAATGTATGTGTACATTTTCATACATTTTCAGGTAGTCATATTTCCCAACTTTTATTTATTTTTATTTATTTTTTGAGGTGGAGTTTCACTCTTGTTGCCCAGGCTGGAGTGCAATGGCACAATTTCAGCTCACTGCAACCTCTGCCTCCCGGATTCAAGCAATTCTCCTGCCTCAGCCTCCTGAGTAGTTGGGATTATAGGCATGAGCCACCATACCTAATTATATATTTTTAGTAGTGACAGGGTTTCTCCATGTTGGTCAGGCTGGTCTCGAACTCCTGACCTCAGATGTTCTGCCCACCTTGGCCTCCCAAAGTGCTGGGGTTACAGGCGTGAGCCAACATGCTTGGTCATTTCCCAACTTTTAAAAAATTAAAAAGAGGCCGGGCACAGTGGCTCATACCTGTAATCCTGGCACTTTGGGAGGCCAAGGCAGGCAGGTCACTTGAGGTCAGGACTTTGCGACCAGCCTGGCCAACATGGTGAAACCTTGTCTCTACTAAAAATACAAAAATTAGCTGGGTGTGGTGGTGGATGTCTGTAATCCCAGCTACTCGGGAGGGTGAGGCAGGAGAACCACTTGAGCCTGGGAGGCGGAGGTTGCAGTGAGCCGAGATTGCCCCACTGCTCTCCAGCCTGGATGACAGAGCAAGACTCTGTCTCAAAATAAATACATAAATAAATAAAGTAAAAATAAAAAGAAGACATTAAAAGTGCTCATTGTGGAAAGTGAATCTATGTGCCCTTAGTAAAGAAGATAAGAATGGAGATGGCAGGGAAACTGACAAAATGCGACACATCAGACTGACAAAGTCATAACAAGTACCCCAAGTTGGTACCAAAAAGACCACATACTCTGGCCATAATGCAGTAGCACAGTGACCGATAAGACAAAAATGGTCTCATGGAGCATATGAATCCCAAGTCTAAACTGAATGAGGCTCAAAGAAGGCTTCACATTGAAAATGAGAACATGTGTATGTGAGTGAGTTGTAATGAACCTGCTATATATCAACATTTATGTGGCAGAGCTGGAAGGGTGCAAAGAGGGATATCCTTCATCTTGTAGCATTTTTTTTTTTAAGAACGGAAAAACTGGAAAATCATTAACATTTACAGTGTTTCAGTCCTACTGTGCACTCATTGTGCCTAAGTGAAGAGCTGGACCCAAAAGTTGCCTCGCCTCGCCTTGCCTTTCGCCTTTCCTTTCCTTCCCCTTTCCTTCCCCTTCCCTTCCCTCTCCCCTTTCCTTTCCTTTCATTTTTTCTTCCCTCCCTCCCTCCCTCCCTCCTTCCCTCCCTCCCTTCCTTCCTTCCTTCACTTTGTCACCCAGGCTGGAGTGCAGTGGTGCAAACACAGCTCACTGCTGCCTCAGGCTCCCAGGCTCAAACGATCCTCCTGCCTCAGCTCCCCAGGTAGCTGGGACTACAGGCATGTGCTACCACGCCTGGTTAATTTTTGCATTTTGTTGTTGTTGTTGTTGAGATGGGGTTTCTCCATGTTGCCCAGGCTGGTCTCAAACTCCTGGACTCAAGCAATCCTCCCACCTTGGCCTCCCAAAGTGCTAGAATTACAGGTGTGAGTCACCGCACCCGGCCTTGAAAGCTTTCTTATTTTTATTCCAATTGTAGCCTCCCTCCAGGATATGGATTCACATGTAACATGAGTGGTAAGTGTTTAAAGGGGACTTTCCCACATTTTTTTTTTTTGAGATGGAGTCTCGCTCTGTTGCCCAGGCTGGAGTGCAGTGGTGCAATCTCTGCTCACTGCAAGCTCCACCTCCCGGGTTCACGGCATTCTCCTGCCTCAGCCTTCAGAGTAGCTGGGACTACAGGCTCCCGCCACCATGCCTGGCTAATTTTTTGCATTTTTAGTAGAGACGGGGTTTCACCATATTAGTCAGGATAGTCTTGATCTCCTGACCTCATGATCCACCCGCCTCGGCCTCCCAAAGTGCTGGGATTACAGGTGTGAGCCACCGCGTCCAGCAGCTCTTTCCTACATTTTTTACTTCCGTAAGGAGTCTCTGCAGTGTGAGTTCTTGTATGAACCATGAATTTGAGACCACGCTGAAGGTTTTGTCATATTCCTTTTAGATTCACAGTTTCTCTCCAGGATGAGAACAAATGTCTACTCAAGATGAATGAAGAGGAAAGGCTTTCCCTAGACTTTACCTTTGCAGGGTTTTTTTTTTCCCCCCACATTTCTGTAAGATAGGAGAGTTCAGGGAAGATGTTCTCATGCATGCTAGCCCCTTGAGCTCCCTTCCAATATGTCCTCCTCCCATGTTCAGTACAGTTAGAAAATTAATGAAGATTTTCCCACCTTCCTTTCATTCACAGCGCTTCTCATCATTGTGAGTCTTCAGATGTTTTTTAAGTCCTGACGACTTTGTAAAGCCTTTTCCACATGTCTTACATTTATAGGGTTTCTCTCCAGTGTGGCTCCTTAGATGTGTATATTTTGAGGACTCCCTAATGACTTTCCCACATTCTTCACATTCATAGGGCTTCTTCTGCACGACATGCTTTCTTACATGCTTATGAAGGTGTAAGGAATATCTAAAGGCTTTTCCACATTTCCCACATTCATACGGTTTCTCTCCAGTGTGAATTTTCATATGTCTCATAAGGAATGACTGATAAAAAAAGGCTCTCCCACATTCGGGACATTTGTGGCTTTTCTCTCCAGTGCAATGACCCTTGTGTGAACCAGAATTTGGAGCGTTGGCAGAGGTTGCTTGAGTTTGACAATCCTTCTTATTTGTCTCTGAGGTATACGACTCTATCTGCACGGCATGAATTGAGTTATTTCTGGAAGTGTTCTCCCACTGAGTAAAATCATACATTTTCTCTCGAACATGAGTGCTGTGTGCCCTAAGGGATCCGTCTTCATGGAAAGCTTTTCCAAATGGATTCTGTTGGTGCCTGTTTGCTCCCGTATCAATTTCATCACGTGTATGATGCACAGTGTGCTGACTGCCAGTCCATGTGCTTGATTTCAGCTCTGTTTTTCTCCCACACGGAACCCACTGAATGTTCTGCCCCAAGACTTCATCACGTCCGTTGTTTTCATGTGTTTTTTGACTATCGTTTAAGAAAGGATTATACTTCAAAATACTTGAGTCACATGTTAGGATACATCGTCTTGTGGAATCTCCCTGTGAAGGCACACGCCTGCAGGTAGGTTTAGAGCGGTTCCTCATTTCGTGATCTTCACAGACGCTAACAGAAGATTCATCTTTCTCGGGGGCAACTGCAGGTGGCTTCACATTATTCGCCCCCTGCCTGTGTGGTCCCTCTGTTTTGGGGCATCTCCAGTCTTCTCTCAATGTGGAGAGCTGGGAACTGATGCTCGTGAGACACACACTGTTGGCTTCAGGAAATGTTCTTTTAGGAAGAATATCCGGCTGAGGGGTTGCATCTTTGGTTTTGCACGGAGTCGCCCAGTCTGAAATACAGTGGCACAAAAGTTAAATTCTTTGTTGAAAGTAAAGGTGGGTTAGAGAGGATGACATAGGCAATGTCCGTGTGGATTTCTTTCTTTCTCCGTTCCTTCCTTCCTCCCTTCCTTTCTTCCCTCCCTCCCTCCCTCCCTCCCTTCCTCCCTCCCTCCCTCCCTTCCTTCCTTCCTTCCTTCTTCCTCTGCTTCCTTTCTTCCTTCCCCTTCTTTCCTTTCCTTCCTTCCTTTCTTCTTTCTTTTCCTTTCTTCCTCCTTCCTTTCTTCCTTCCCCTTCCTTCCTTCCTGTCCTTCTTTTTTCCATCTTTTTTTCTCTTTCTTTTCTTTCTTTCTTTTCCTTCCTTCCTTCTTCCTTCCTCTCTTTCTTCCTTCTCCTTCCTTCCTTTTTTCTTTCTTTTCCTTCCTTCCTTCCTCCTTCCTCTCTTCCTTCCCCTTCCTTCCTTCCTGTCCTTTTTTCCATCTTCTTTCTTTTCTTTCTTTCTCTCTCTCTTTCTTTTCTTTCTTTTCCTTCCTTCCTTCTTCCTTCCTCTCCTTCCTTCTTCCTTCCTCTCCTTCCTTCCTTCCTCCTTCCCCTTCCTTCCCTCCTTCCTTCCTTCCTTCCTTCCTCTCTCTCTCTCTCTCATTCTCTTTTTCTGTCTTTCTCTCTTTTCTTTCAACAGAGTCTTGCTGTGTGGCCCAGACTGGAGTGCAGTGGCATGATCTTTGCTCATTACAACATCTGCCTCCCGGGTTCAAGCAATTCTCTGGCCTGTTTCCCGAGTATCTGAGATTACAGGTGCATGCCACCACGCTTGGCTAGTTTTTGTATTTTCAGTTGAGATGGGGTTTCGCCATGTTGGCCGGGCTGGTCTTGAATTCCTGGCCTCATGTGATCCACCTGCCTCAGCCTCCCAAAGTGTTGGGATTACAGGCGTGAGCCAACGCGCCCGGCCTCTGTGTGGATTTCTTTCTAGATGTTCCCTCAACATATATGATAAAAATGTGAAGGGGAAGAAAGCAAGAGGAAGGAAGCAGAGAAAGACCTCAGGGATTCTGCAGTGTCAGGAATGTGATGATGGTAAGGTCAGGGGTTCAACATGGAGAGCGTCATGTTACTGAGGAATGACTCTGCAGAGATCAAGGAAACGATCAGGAATTTTAAGTGGAAGAGAATTGTGCAGAGAGTCCATGTGAAATTTTTATTTTTTTGAGATGAGGGTCTCACTAGGTTGCCCAGGCACTAGGCGCAGTGGCTATTCATAGGCTTAATCATAACACACTGCAGCCTCGAGCTCTTGGGGTCAAGTGATCCTCTTGCCTCAGTCTCCCGAGTAGCTGGCTCCATGTGCAATTTCTTTTTTTTGGGACGGAGTCTCGCTCTGTTGCCCAGGCTGGAGTGCAGTGGCTGGATCTCAGCTCACTGCAAGCTCTGCCTCCCGGGTTTACACCATTCTCCTGCCTCAGCCTCCCGAGTAGCTGGGACTACAGGCGCCCGCCACCTCGCCCGGCTAGATTTTTGTATTTTTTAGTAGAGACAGGGTTTCACCGTGTTAGCCAGGATGGTTTCGATCTCCAGACCTTATGATCCGCCCGTCTTGGCCTCCCAAAGTGCTGGGATTATAGGCTTGAGCCACCGCGCCCGGCCTCCATGTGCAATTTTAAGGAGAAAAGGAATAGGCCTTCCTTTGGGAAAAATGAATATATGAGAGGATGGATAAAAGTCAAAAAACATAAGCTCAGCCAGGCGCAGTGGCTCACGCCTGTAATCCCAGCACTTTGAGAGGCTGAGGTGGGTGGATCACCGGAGGTCAGGAGTTTGAGACCAGCCTGACCAACGTGGTGAAGCCCTGTCTCTACTAAAAATACAAAAATGAGCCGGGCATGGTGGTGGGTGCCTGTAGTCCCAGCTACTCGGGAGGCTGAGGCAGGAGAATCGCTTGAACCCAGGAGGCAGGGATTGCAGTGAGCTGAGATTGCACTACTGCACTCCAGCCTGGGCAAGAGGGTGCCTGTTTTTTTCTTTCTTTTTTTTTTTTCTTTTTAAATTAAAAAAAACTTTTTTAAGACAAAAAAGGACAGGGTTTTGTCATGTTGGCTGGGCTGGTCTCGACCTCCTGGCCTCAAGTAATCCTCCCCCTGCCTCAGCCTCCCAAAGTGCTAGGATTACAGGTGTGAGCCGCTGTGCCTGGTCTATAGGTCTCCTTGGCTGCTCTGTAGATAACAACTTGAACATTATAGAGCATTAAGTTTTCACTTTGAGATATTCCTTCAGGTCCTGCATTCTGATGAAATGACTACGCCAACTGGTCTAAGGAACGCCGTGAGAAACTGATGTACCAAAGAATGTACTTTCCTCATCCCGACGATTTCATCCCTCTTCCTCTGACCAATCAACATCTCCAATTCTCCAGTCCCTTGCCCTTCATGATCCCCTTGAAAATGAGAGCAGTGGCTCATGCCTGTAATGCCAACACTTTGGGAAGCCAAGGTGGGCGGATCTCTTGAGGTCAGGAGTTCGAGACCAGCCTTGCCAACATGATGAAACCCCGTCTCTACTAAAAATACAAAAATGAGCCGGGTATGGTGGTGTGCGCCTGTAGTCCCAGCTACTCAGGAGGCTGAGGCAGGAGAATTGCCTGAACCCAGGAGGCAGAGGTTGCAGTGAGTGGAGATCGCACCATTGCACTCCAGCCTGGGCAACAAGAGTGAAACACACTCTCAAAAAACAAAAAAACAAGAACCCCAGAACCCCTCAGGGAGAAGAATTTGAGCATCTCCTCCCATCTCCTCGGTCGGCACTGGATAATCATGAAACTTTCTCTGCTGCAAACCTTGCTGTCTCAGTGGCGTGAGCCTGTTGCTCTGTTACCATGCTGCTGGCTTACAAACCTGTTGGTCCTGTAATGTTCACGTCTGCCTGGCACTGAGATGCATGAATGCCTGGACAAAACTGCCCTGCACTGTTTTCAGACCACTTCTTGCTCCAAATGAGAGGGCAGACTGGGTTTGCCTAGTGGAGATCCTGTTCACTGGGCAAGCACGTGGTGTAAAGGAACTATGCCAAGACTTTCTGTGAAATGGACACAAGCTTTGGTTTGCTGCGGTTCCGAAGCTGACGATGTGTGAATAGAAGAGCAACAGTGGTCCCTCTACTTTTCTCATCAATGCACTAAAACTCTGCCAAAAGGGCTCAGAACGACCCTTTTCCTGTGTACCATGTTCACCTACATAAGGATCCCCCAAAGTCTGCTCGATCACCAAGAGAATAAGAATGTAATGCATTAGTTGGGCATGGTAGAGCACGCCTGTAATCCCAGATGCTCAGGAGGCTGAGGCAGGAGAATTGCTTGAGCCCAGGAGGCAGAGGTTGCAGTGAGTCGTGATGGTGCCACTTCACTCCAGCCTGGGTGACAGGGTGAGACCCCATCTTCATGAAAAGAAAAATAAAGGCTGGGTGTGGTGGCTCACGCCTGTAATCCCAGCACTTCGGGAGGTCAAGGTGGGAGGATCACTTGAGGCCAGGAGTTCAAGACCAGCCTAGCCAATGTGGCGAAATCTGCCTCTACTAAAAATACAAACAAAAATTAGCCAGGTGTGGTGGTGTGCACTTGTATTCCCAGCTACTAGGGAGGCTAAAGCAAGAGAATTGCATGAACCCAGGAGGCAGAAGTTGCAGTGAGCTGAGATGATGCCACTGCACTCCAGCCTGGGAGATAGAGTGAGACCCTGTCTCAAAAAATAAAATAAAATAAAATAAAATAAAATAAAATAAAATAAAGCAACAAACTGATTTCCAGTTTCACGGTGAACCCTACATCTACTACTTGGGGGACAACAGTTCTGTCTCTGGAATTTAACCCAGTTCCCATTTTCCAATGCACTTCCCAGAACACAGTTCCAAACCAGCACTGGTCCCATCAGTGACTAAGTGCAGGAAGGGGCCTCCTCACCTATGAATGCCAGGTTCCTAGAGTTCTCCAGCATCACATCTCTGTAGAGATTCCTCTGAGCTGGGTCCAGCAGGGTCCACTCCTCTTTGGTGAAGTTCACAGCCACATCTGCGAAGGTCACCGAGTCCTAAAACAGCACACGCGGTTTGGCTCAGTGGGGTGTCCTGTTATCAGTTTGAACTGTGACCCCGTTCTCCACAAAAAAGGGTACATTGAGGTCTTAACCCTTGGTACTTGCAAAAGTGACCTGATTTGAGAACTAGAGTCTTTGCAGATGTCAGTGAATTAAGATGAGGCTGTGGCCGGGCGCAGTGGCTCACACCTGTAATCTCAGCACTTTGGGAGGTTGAGGCAGGTGGATCACAAGGTCGGGAGTTCGAGACCAGCCTGGCCAACACGGTGAAACCCCATCTCTACTAAAAATACAAAAAATTAGCCGGGCGTGGTGGCAGGTGCCTATAGTCCCAGCTACTCGGGGGGCTGAGGCAGAGAACTGCTTGAACCCAGGAGGTGGAGGTTGCAGTGAGCCGAGATCATGCCACTGCACTCCAGCCTGGGCTACAAAGTGAGACTCTGTCTCAAAAAAAAAAAAAAAAAAAAAGGTGACGTTGTACTGGGGTTGGGTGGGCTCTAATCCAATGACTGGTGTCCTTATAAGAAGAGGAAATCTGGCCAGGTGCGGTGGCTTACGCCTGGAATCCCAGCACTTTAGGAGGTTGAGGCGGGATGATTGCTTGAGGCCAGGAGTTCAAGTCCAGCCTGGGCAACAAAGTGATAACCCGTCTCTATAAAAAATAAAAACAATTACCCGTGAGTGTGAGTGGGCAGCTGTAGTCCCAGCTACCTGGGAGGCTGAGGAGGGAGGATTGCCTGAGCCTGGGAGGTGGAGGTTGCAATGAGCTATGATCCTGCCACTGCAGTCCAGCCTGGGCAACAGAGCAAGACCCTGTCTCAAAACAAACAAACAAACTATACATATATATATATATATATATATATATATATATATATACACATAAATAAAAGAAGGGGAAATGTGGACAGAGGGAGGGACACAGAGGGAAGAATGCCATTTGGCGAGGGAGGCAGAGACCGGAGTGATGGGTCCACAAGCCAGGGAATGCCAAAGATGCCAGTGACTACCAGCAGCTAGGTAAGAACATGGAACAAATGCTTTCTTGGAGCCTCCAGAAGGAACCAACCCTGCCGCCATTTTGATCTTGGACTTCCAGCCTGCAGAACTGTGAGAAAATCAATGTCTGTTGCTTATCACAACAGATGCACCCCATCTGTGATAGTTACGGCAGCCTGAAGAGCCTAATGCAACGGGAAGAGCATACACTCGATTGGTAGAGATTGACGTCCGGTCGTATGACTCAGGTGCTCTTTCTTCTGAGACAGGGTCTTGAGCTGTTACACAGGCTGGAGTGCAGTGGTGCAAATGCAGCTCACAGCAGCCTCTAACTGCTGGGCTCAAGCGATCCTCCCACCTCAGCCTCCCAAGTGGCTGGGACAACCGGCACACACCATCATTTGTGGCCCTGTCTCAGGAAAAAGAGTACCTGAGTCCCGTGACTGGACTTCAGTCTCCACCAGTTGACCGGCTGTGTGTCTTTCTGATGCATTAGCCTGTTCAGGCTGCCATAACAAACGATCACAGAGGGGTGGCTTAAAAATCCTTAAACCCTGGCCAGGTGCGGTGGCTCATGTCTGTAATCCCAGCACTTTGGGAGGCCGAGGCGGGCGGATCACCTGAGGTCAGGAGTTCAAAACCAGCCTGGCCAATGTGGAGAAACCCCATCTCAACTAAAAATACAAAAATTAGCCGGGCGTGATGGCAGGCGCCTGTAATCCCAGCTACTCGGGAGGCTGAGGCAGGAGAATCACTTGAACCTGCAAGGCAGAGGTTGCAGTGAGCCGAGATCACGCCATTGCACTCCAGCCTGGGCAACAAGAGTGAAACTCTGTCTCAAAAAAAAAAAAAAAAAAAAAAATTTAGAGTGGGGTAGGCCAGGCGCGGTGGCTCACGCCTGTAATCCCAGCACTTTGGGAGGCAGAGGCGGGAGGATCACGAGGTCAGGAGATGGAGACCATCCTGGCTAACACAGTGAAACCCCGTCTACTAAAAATACAAAAAATTAGCCGGGTGAGGTGGCGGGCGCCTGTAATCCCAGCTACTCGGGAGGCTGAGGCAGGAGAATGGCATGAACCCAGGAGGCGGAGCTTGCAGTGAGCCGAGATTGCGCCACCCAACTCCAGCCTGGGGAAGTAGCAAGACTCCGTCTCAAAAAAAAAAAAATTTGGAGTGGGGCACAGCTCAGTCCACTCCTTGTTATCTGCAGGTCACGACAGTCGCGGGGGATGCTGCCACCAGGAGAGCCCTGCCCGCTGCATAAATGCCTAGTGTCCCCTGCAAGACCCTGAGTTCCTTAAGACAAAGACACTTTCTTTTTATTTTACTTTATTATTATTTTTAGAGACAGAGTCTTACTCTGTCCCCCAGGCTGGAGTACAGTGGAGTGATCAGTCCTCATTGTAGCCTCACCCTCCTGGGCTCAAGCAATTCTCTCGCTTCAGCTTCTTAAGTAGCTGGGACTACAGCCATGCACCACCATGCCAGGCAAATTTTTTTTATATTTATAGAGACGGGGGTCTTGCTATGTTGCCCAGGCTGGTATCAAACTCGTGGCCTCAAATGATCCTCCTGTCTCAGCCTCCCAAAGTCCTGGGATTACAGGTTTGAGCCACTGCCCCCCCACCAAAGACACGTTCATCTCCTTTCTTAGCGTGCTTTGCAGCAGAATGTGAAGCCCACAGGCAGCCAGGATGAGGCGTGGAAAGGACTGGTCAGTACTGGGGTGGGGGTGGTCCCATGAGAATCCCCAGGGCAGCGTCTCTCTCCAAGCAGAGGTGCAGAGGCCTGGGACAGCGCAGCCGGCGGTGGGCCCTGCCCGGCTGCATGCGCTTTACCTAACTCCCAGCCACAGGCAGAGGCACATGCACTCGTGGGAACAACACCCTTCTGGGAGAGGGTGAGCTGCCAACTTACCTGGGACATATTTGTCGCCAACGCGACGGCCAGTCCTGGCTTCCCCGTGTTTCCCTCAAGGAGGCAGGCGAGGTAGAGCTTGGGAGAAGAATGGAGCTGTGAGAATCCAGGCACCCTGCCTTCCCCACACTCCTACGTGGACCTTGCCTGACATTAATCTCAGCATATAAATGCATGCGTGCACACACACCCCACACACACCCACACTCCCTAAACCCCCTCACACCCACCCCCCCTTGACATTAATCTCAGCATATAATGCATGCGTGCACACACACCCCACACACCCACACTCCCTAAACCCTCACACCCACCCCCCACACACCCACACCCACCCACACACACCCTCACACACACCCACACACTCCCTAAACCCCTCACACCCACCCTCTCTACACACCCACACCCACACACACCCTACACACACCCACACACACCCCACACTCCCCAAACCCTCACACCCACCCCCACACACCCACCCACACACACCACCACACACACACCACACTCCTCAAACCCCCACACTCCACCTCTCACACACACCCAAATGTACCCACACCCACCCACACACACCCCACACCCACCCCACACACCCACACACACCCCACACTCCCTAAACTCCTCAAGCACCCACCTCCTGCCCCCCCCCCCCACACATCCACCCACACACACCCCACACACACACCCACACTCCCCAAACCCCCTCACACCCACCCACCCACCCACGCACCTATATTTTAATGTAATGATTTAAAGACAGAGTCTTGTCCTGTTGCCCAGGCTGGAGTGCGGTAGTGCAATCACGGCTCACTACAACCTCAAACTTCTGGGCTCCAGTGATCCTCCTGCCTCAGACTCCTGAGTAGCCGAAGGTAGAGGCATGCGCCCCCACGCCCCCTGATTTTTCATATTTATTTTCATAGAGATGGGGTCTCACTATGTTGCCTAGGCTGGTCTCAAATTCCTGGCCTCAAGCAGCAATTTTTTTTTTTTAATTGAGGTGAAATTTGCATATCATGAAGTTAACCATTTTAGGTGAACAACGCAGTGGCATTTAGTGCATTTGCAATGTTGTACAAATGTCACCTCTGCCTAGTTCCAAATAATTTTCATCACCACAAAATAAAACCCCATCCCCCTTAGCAGTCACTTCCCATTCTCCCCTTCACCCAGCTCCTGGCAGCCGCTGATCTAATTGCATTTTTTTTTTTTTCTTTTTTTGAGACAGAGTCTCCCTCTGTTGCCCAGGCTGGAGTGCAGTGGCACGATCTCAGCTCACTGCAGCCTCCGCCTCCCTGGTTCAAGCAATTCTCCTGCCTCAGCCTCCTGATTAGCTGCCATTACAGGCCCCTGCCATCACACCTGGCTAATTTTTTATACTTTTAGTAGAGATGGGATTTCACCATGTTGGCCAGGCTGGTCTCGAACTCCTGACCTCAAGTGATTTGCCCACCTCAGTCTCCCAAAGTGCTGGAATTAGGGGTGTGAGCACCACACCTGGCCCATAGCGGTATTCATTACAGTCCCAAGTAGAAACAACCTAATATTGATCAATGGATGAACAAAGAAAGCAAACGTGGTCTATCCGCACCATGGAATATTATCCAGCCATAAAACGGACTGAGGCACTGACATATACTACAACACCAGTGAGCTCTGAAAACAGGATGCCGAGTGAACGAAGCCAGACACAGAAGACCACAGTGTATGACTCCATTGAAAACGAAATGTGCAGAATAGACTAATCTATAGAGACAGAAAGTAGATCAGAGGTTGTCCGGGGCTGGGGGAGATGAGGGACTGGGAGACGACCACTGAAGGATACAGGGCTTCTTTCGGGGGTGATGGAAATGTTCTAAATTTGCGGGACGTACACGTCTGTGAATATACTAAAAACCACTGAATTGCACCCTTTAAGAAGGTGAATTGGGCCGGGTGCGGTGGCTCACGTCTGTAACCCAAAACTCCGGGAGGCCGAGGCAGGTGGATCACTTGAGGTCAGGAATTCGAGACCATCCTGGCCAACATGGTGAAACCCCATGTCTACTAAAAATACAAACATTAGCTGGGTGTGGTGGCAGGTGCTTGTAATCCCAGCTATTTGGGAGGCTGAGGCAGGAGAATCAGTTGAACCCGGGAGGCGGAGGTTGCAGTGAGCTGAGATTGCAGCACTGCACTCCCCAGCCTGAGTGATAGAGCGAGACTCTGTCTCAAAAAAAAAAAAAAAAAAGTTTCAAACATAAGATGCAAAGTGTTCATGTTACTGGGAAGTCAGATTTTTAGTGTAAGAGGAAAAAGTTTCAAATATAAGATGAAAAGACTTCATATCATCATGAACACACACACACACACACAATGTCTCCCTGGTCAGTCTATTCATAGAAAATGCTTAGTAGAATTAACAAGCAGGAAGCGATAAACACCCTTGGAGACATGGCTGGTCCGGGAACAGGAAATTTCCAGTGTGAGCCTTGCGGTGCCAGGTGGCAGGGGAGCTGCTCGACACCGCGTTGGGAGGATGCACAGCGGCCGGAAAGGTCTCCCAGTGGCCCGATTTGAACTACAAAGTGAATCATTGCAATGGCTGGAAACACACTGAACACTAAAAATACCTGGGCACATAATGATACCCAGAAAGAGAAAGCCAGAGGGGGAAAAAACCACAAGCCTTGGTTAATAAAGAGGAAAAATTAAGCCTTTACTTTGCCTTTCCAATAAGAAAAGAAATGGACTAACCTTACTGATGACAGAAAACTGCACAGAATTCCAGCTACTTATTTATTTATTTATTTATTTTTGAGACAAGGTCTCATTCTGTCATCCAGGTTGGAGTGCAGTGGGGAGATCTCGGCTCACAGCAGCCTCCCAAGTTCAAGTGATTCTCCTGCCTCAACTTCCCAAGTAGCTGGGACTGCAAGCGCCTACCACCACACCCAGCTAATATATATACATATATGTATTAAAAAAAATTTTTTTTGAGACAGGGTCTCATTCTGTCGCCCAGGCTAGAGTGCAGTGGCATGATCTCAGCTCACTGCAACTTCCGCCTCCCGGGGTCAAGCAATTCTGCTGCCTCAGCCTCCCGAGTAGCTGAGATTACAGGCTCGGGCCACCATGCCCAGCTAATTTTTGTATTTTTAGTAGAGATGGGGTTTCACTATGTTGGTCAGGCTTATCTCAAACTCCTGACCTCAGATGATCCGCCTGCCTCGACCTCCCAAAGTGCTGGGATTACAGGCGTGAGCCACCATGCCAGGCCCCAGCTACATGTTTAGATGGGACAACTGAATGTTTTTAAAAAATCACCATTTTGGGCTGGGCTTGGTGGTTCACACCTATAATCCCAGCATGTTGGGAGACTGAGGCGGGAGGATCACTTAAGCCCAGGATTTTTGATACCGCCCTGGGCAACATAGCAAGGCCCCGTCTCTACAAAAAAATTACAAATTAAGTGGGCACGCTGGCGTGCGCCTCCAGTCTCAGCTACTCAGGAGGTTGGGGTGGGAGGATCATTTGAGCCCTGGAGGTTGATGCCGCAGTGAACTATAATTGCACCGCTGCACTCCAGCTTGGGTGACAGAATGAGGTCCTATCTCAAAAACAAAAACAAAAAAAAAATCACCATTTTACAACCCTAATAAAACAACTGATTCAGGAAATAAGACAACTTGGTGGACACAGAAAGGGGAGGCAGTCATTAGCAGGTACGAAGGCGTCACTCAGGACTTGCTGGGTGTAAAGGGATGCAACTTTAAGAGGTAAGGCTCTGTGGGTGCGGTGGCTCAGGCCTGTAATCCCAGTACTTTGGGAGGCTGAGGCGGGCGGATCACCTGAGGTAGGGAGTTTGAGACCAGCCTGACCAACATGGATAAACCTTGTCTCTACTAAAAATACAAAATTAGCCGGGAGTGGTGGTGCACGCCTGTAATCCCAGCTACTCGGGAGGCTGAGGCAGGAGAATCGTTTGAACCCGGGAGACGGAGGTTGCGGTGAACTGAGATCGTGCCATTTCACTTCAGCCTGAGCAACAAGAGCAAAAAAAAAAAAAAAAAGAGGTAAGAGGCTCTCTCACCTCCAGAAACTGCCCACCAATGTTAGCTTGACTCGTACAGGGACAAAGAGCCATTATAGTTACACTGATGTGATGAACACACCACCTACGATGTATCTTCCATTTTTATTTTGTTTAAATTTTTCTTTGTTATTATATATTTTTCGAGACAAGGTCTCGCTCTATCACCCAGGCTGGAGTGCAGTGGCACATCTTGGCTCACTGCAGCCTCTGCCTCCTGGGTTCAAGAGATTCTTCTGCCTCAGCCTCCCGAGTAGCTGGGACTACAGGTGCCCACCACCACACCTGGCTATTTTTTTTTCTTTTTTCTTTTGTATTTATTTTTAGTAGAGACAGGGCTTCACCATGTTGGCCAGGCTGGTCTCAAACGCCTGACCTCAGGCGATCCTCCCGTCTCAGCCTCCCAAAGTGCTGGGATTAGAGCCACTACGCCCGACCTACCTAGGATGTTTCTGTCTCCCTCCCTCCCTCCCTTCCTCTCTCTCTCTTTTCCTTCCTCCTTCCCTCCTTCCCTCCTTCCTTCCTTCCTTTCCTTCTTTCTTTCTTTCTCTCTTTCTGTCTCTCTTTCCTTCCCTCCCTCCCTCCCTCCTTCCTTCCTTCCTTCCTTCCTTCCTTCCTTCCTTCCTTCCTTCCTTCCTTCCTTCCTTCCCTCCCTCCCTCCGTCTCTCTTTCTCTCTCTCTCTCTCTCTCCCTCTCTTTCTTTCTTTTTTGAGACAGGTTCTCACTCTGCTGCCCTGGCTGGAGTGCAGTGGTGTGATCAGAGCTCACTGTAGCCTTGACCTCCCGGGGTCAAGCAATCCTCCCACCTTAGCCTCCCAAAGTGCTGGGATCACAGGCATGAGTCACCACGCCTGGCCAGGTCTAACTTTCAACAACACAAGGAACAACCACACAAATCCACAGGCGTGGACGTTCTGCTATTCTAACCACCCAGGGACTCCAGCTAGTTAATGTCATGAACAAAGGGAGGCGAGTTCAAGGGTGTGAGCCCTGAAAGAGAAACGCACACAATGTGTTTGCATCCTGCCTAAAGAAATCTAACTCTAGGCTGAGTGCGGTGGCTCATGCCTGTAATCCCAGCACTTTGAGAGGCTGGGGCAGGTGGATCACCTGAGGTCGGGAGTTGGAGACCAGCCTGGCCAACATGGAGAAACCCAGTTTCTACTAAAAATACAAAAAATTAGCCGGGCGTGGTGGCACATGCCTGTAATCCTGGCTACTCGGGAGGCTAAGGCAGGAAAATCACTTGAACCTGGGAGGCGGAGGTTGCGGTGAGCTGAGTTGGTGCCACTGCACTCCAGCCTGGGCAACAAGAGCAAAACTCCATCTCAAAAAAAAAAAAAAAAAAAAATACAAACCCCAAAATTGTCTTTTTTCTATTAAACAAAACAAAACAAAACAAAACAAAACAAAAACAAACTCCCAAAACTCTTCCTGCTCCAAATGTGACATCTGATGACCATTTAATGACTGGTCAACTCATACAGTATGAGTCATTTGTTCATCAAATGTTAGAATCGCATAAAATCTAAGACTTATATGATATTTGAAAGACACTTGATGGCAAGTTCCCTCAATCTGAGGACAAACCTAAACATTGACGTGACACTATCAGCAATGAACTGTGGACTCAAAACTTTTCTAAACCATAAATAATTAAAAAATTCAATTAATCATATGAGAAAAAGCTGAATTTTTATATATATACACACACGCACACGTAAATATATGTGCGTATATATTTATATATGTGTGTATGTATGTATTTATATATATACACACACATATAAAAATGTATATACATATACATTGGCCAGGCACAGTGGCTCACGCCTGTAATCCCAGCACTTGGGGAGGCTGAGGCGGGTGGATCACCTGAGGTCAGGAGTTCGAGACCAGCCTGACCAACATGGACAAACCCCGTCTTTACTAAAAATACAAAATTAGGCGGGTGTGGTCGTGCGTGCCGTAATCCCAGCTACTTAGGAGGCTGAGGCAGGAGAATTGCTTGAACCTGGGAGGCAGAGGTTGCAGTGAGCTGAGATCGCGCCATTGAACTCCAGCCTAGGCGACAAGAGTGAAACTCCATCTCAAAAAAAAAAAAAAAATGTATATACACACACATATATAAATATATAAATGTGTGTGTGTGTATATATATAGATATATTTTTATATATTGTGGAGAATATATTCATATACATATGCACACACACACACACACATATATATATTTATATACATTCTCCACAGGACATTATCGAATAGGAGTACTCAAAGGGTATATGATCAAATAGAAGAAATACAGTATAGACATCTTCCGGGCAGCTCTAACCAACAATGTCAAATTTTCTTGATTTTGTGATGGTTTGGGTATTTCTTTTTTATTTCTCAAAAATTTCCAAAAAAAGTTGTGATTATTTGATTTCTTTCCTCAGTGTAAATATTCACTTTTATACAAATAAAAAAAAAAAGAAATTATCAATCAACTCTTCTTTTGAGTATTTTATTATTATTATTATTTTTTGAGACAGAGTTTTGCTCTGTTGCCTAGGCTGGAGTGCAGTGGCGTGATCTTGGCTCAATGCAGCCTCTGCCTCCCGGGTTCAAGCGATTCTCCTACCTCAGCCTCCCGAGCAGCAAAAACTAGCCGGGCATGGTGGTGCACCCCTGTAATCCCAGCTACTGGGGAGGCTGAGGCAGAAGAATCGCTTGAACCTGGGAGGCGGAGCTTGCAGTGAACTGAGATCCGGCCACTGCACTCCAGCCTGGGCAACAGAGGGAGACTCCATCTCAAAAAAAAAAAGAAAAAGAAAGCAATTGCATGCTTGGGCAAACCAGGGATGACACTGCAACCTTCTCATTGTGAAATAATGTGAAAACCTGCCCTGCCACGCATCAGGAGGAGGTATCAGACTCGATCAAGCCAGCAGCAGTCTAAACAAAATATTAATAACAAGCCCTGTCTTTGAGGTGATTACTTTTTCTTATTTTCTTGCTCCCTGAGAAACTTTGTTCTCTAAAATTCACAGTTTATCAAAACCTTTGCTTTTGACATCCTGTTGGTAAACATGAAAAGCCCCACTGTTGCCTGGGGGATCCAAGTCACTTGGACACAGAAGCAAGCCTGTGCAACTCAGGGGCGGAGCTGTAGATAAGAGTTTTAAGACACAACATTCCACGTCTACCTTGACCTGATAGTTCCCAAGGAAACAACCAGACCTGATGATAACCCCATTACACGCATCTCAGCTCTAAGCCTACCTAAGAAGATAAAACAGTCTATTTCAATTCAGTTTCCCTGAATTCCATCCTTTCCCCAATACAATTGGAGCACCGGTTGTGTCCCTAGTAATCTCAGACACATCAGCTCAGGACAATAGTTAAAAGAAAAAAAAAAGGCCAGGCGTGGTGGCTCAAGCCTGTAATCCCAGCACTTTGGGAGGCCGAGACGGGCGGATCACGAGGTCAGGAGATCGAGACCATCCTGGCTAACCCGGTGAAACCCCGTCTCTACTAAAAATACAAAAAACTAGCCGGGGGAGGTGGCGGGTGCCTATAGTCCTGGCTACTCGGGAGGCTGAGGCAGGAGAATGGTGTGAACCCGGGAGATGGAGCTTGCAGTGAGCTGAGATCCGGCCACTGCACTCCAGCCTGGGCGACAGAGTGAGACTCCGTCTCAAAAAAAAAAGAAAAGAAAAGAAAACGCATCTTGTTCCGACCGTGGGGTTTGATCCTGACACCTTCACACCACTCTCCTTGCAGCTTATCCTTTTTATACATTTCCTCTACTGAGGTCTCAGTTCCCATAAAAGAACATGCTCAGCGCACCAAACTCAAACCCTCAAAGCTCCTTCTCTAGGAAACCAGTGCATCCTGCACGTCTGGCCCTGCCCCCACTCATCACAACAGGCTCCAATCCAATACTTTTTTTTTTGAGAGGGAGTCTTGCTCTGTCACCCAGGCTGCAGTGCAGTGGCACGATCTAGGCTCACTGCAACCTCCACCTCCCAGGTAGAAGCGATTCTCCTGCCTCAGCCTCCCAAGTAGCTGGGATTACAGGTGCTCAGCTCACTGCAACCTCCGCCTCCCGGGTTCAAGTGATTCTCCTGCCTCAGCCTCCGGAGTAGCTGGGATTACAGGCGCACGCCACCACGCCCAGCTAATTTTGGTATTTTTAGTAGAGACAGGGTTTCCCCATGTTGGCCAGGCTGGTCTTGAACTCCTGACCTCAGGTGATCCTCCCGCCTCCGCCTCACAAAATGCTGGGATTACAAGCGTGAGCCACCGCGCCCGGCCAGCTCCAATACTTTCATGGATGCAAAGAACACAACCCCTGCAACCGCTGCATGCGGGCATCTCTGCTGCCCAAGCCAGGGGACAGGCGCTTCTGCAAGGTTGCAACACGGCATGGGGGAAGCGCCCTTCTCCCTGGGCCAAGGTGAAGGGCGCGCTCGGGGGCTGAACACGTGGATCATTCGTGCCTTTCCCTTTCCTCCCGGAAGGGTAGAGACAATGAGGCTTTTGCAGACAGCAACTCCCAAGTCCCTGGGCCCCGGGCCGGTCCCGCCCTTAATACGGACACTTAGGCACACTTCCACTTCCACTAGCTCCGGCTTCTAGATGTCTCTGCGGGTGGCGCAGCCCAAAAGCGCGCGCAGCCCAGGAGCGTTTCGGAGCTGAACCAGGATGGGGATCAAACTGTTGAAATAAATCAACCTAACGAGTCCGCCAGGAAGGACCGACGACAGAGATTCGTCCTGCCCAGACATTTTGTACCTGCTTCTTGACCCCTTCCTCAAAATGGACGGAGTAAGGGACCAGAAGGAGGAGAGGGGAGCCGAGCAGGCAGGGGATCCCAGCGCCCGCACTCCTGCCCGCCCCCCGGCCCGGGGACCCGATCGCCCCGACCCCAGAGTCTGACCCCCATGGCCAGTAGATTGACATTTCCTGTAGAACTTACTCCCCAGGCACTCCTGATCCAAGCAGGAAACCCCAGCCTTGGATCCTCGCTGTCGCCTCTGCCCGCGCCACCGTTCCTAGGCTCTCCGGCTTGGAAGCGCTCTGTCTGCGCAGCCAACGCGCCTCCTTGCGGGCTCCGGAGACGCCGGCCGCTTGCTGGCTTCCTGCATTTCCCAAGGAAAGAAGGCGTTTGTTATTTCTCTGTACTATAAAAGGGCGGAAACAGACACTTTGGGGGGTCTCCGGTTTCTCTGTTGTCCTCATTTTTATGTTTTTGCTACCACCCCCACCCCCAACCGCTGACTAGCGGCTAAACCGCAAGGCTCTTGTCACCTAGCCTTGAAATGTTTTTTTCTTCCTTCCTTCCTTTCTTTTCTTTTTTTATTTTTTTGATATCGAGTCTCGCTCTGTCGCCCAGGCTGGAGTGCAGTGGCGCGATCTCGGTTCACTGCAAGCTCCGCCTCCCGGGTTCACGTCATTCTCTTGCCTCAGCCTCCCGAGTAGCTGGGACTACAGGCGCCGCCACCATGCCCGGCTAAGTTTTTGTATTTTTAGTAGAGACGGGGTTTCACCGTGTTAGCCTGGATGGTCTCCATCTCCTGACCTCGTGATCCGCCCGTCTCAGCCTCCCAAAGTGTTGGGATTACAGGTGTGAGCCACCGCGCCGGGCCCTTCTTTCTTCTTTTTCTTTCTCTTTCTTCTTTTTCTCTTTCTCTCTCTCTCCCTCCCTCCCTTCTTTCTTCTCTTTCTTCTCTTCCTTTTTTTTCTCTCTTCTTCCCTCCCTTACTTCCTTCTTTCCTTTCTCTTTCCCACTCTTCCTTCCTTTCTCCCTCCCTTTTCTTTCTTTTCTTTCCTTCTTTTTTTTCTTTCTCTTTCTTTTCTTTCTTCCGCCCTTCCTCTCTCCCTCTCTGCCCCTCCCTCCCTCCCTTCTTTATTTTTTTCCTTTTCTTATTCTTTTTTTCTTTTTTTTGAGACAGGGTCTTGCTCTGTCCTTCAGGCTGGAGTGCAGTGGCGCAATCTTGGCTCACTGCAGCCTCAAGCGATCCTATACTTCAACCTCCCAAGTAGCTGGGAAGACAGGTGCGTACAAGCACACCTGGCACATTTTATATTTATTTTTTATTTTATTTTATTTTATTTTTATTTTATTTTATTTTAGAGATGAGAACTTACTATGCTGCCCAGGCTAGTCTTGAACTCCTGGGTGTCACGTGTGTCAGTATAGAAGGCCACCTAAACAGGCTTTGTGTGAGCAACAAGGCTGTTTATTCACTTGGGTGCAAGTGGGCTGAGTCCGAAAAGAGAGTCAGCGAAGGGAGGCAGGAGAGGGGCAGCTTTATAGGGCTAGGCTAGGCCGTGGAAAGTTACAGTTAAAGGTGATTATCTGTTGTCAGTAGGGGAGGGGGTCACAAGGTACATGGTGGAAAGATCATGAGACCAGGAGAAGAATGTCACAGGGCCGACGGGTCAGTGGGGGCAGGACAGGAACTAGTCATAGTGGTGGAATGTCGTCAGGTGGGTTAATCAGTTAAGGCAGGAACTGGCTGTTTCACTTCTTTTGTGGTTTTTCGGCCGCTCCAGACTTCTTGGCTCCTGCAGGCCATCTGGACGTATATGTGCAGGTCACAGGGATTACAATGGCTGAGCTTCGGCTCAGAGGCTTGACACTGGGCTTAAGCAATCCTCCGACCTTGGCCTCCCAAAGTGCCAGGATGACAGGTGTGAGTCACCACACCTGGCCTGAAATGATTTTAAACACTTATGTAATTTACTACCTGAGTGACATATGTTTTGCTGTGATAAAAACATGGAGTGTAGTCCCCCTCGCTGTGAGAATATTATCATCTTGCTTTATCCAGCTACACATGTGAATGACTGACCTCAACTACTGGACTCCAAAACATACTAAAGACTTGGACAGACACAGGGAGAGTTCAGGCTGGGGCAGAGCTGCTCTCTGCCAGCTTTCCAGTTACTCTCTCAAGTCTCACATCCAAACACCCATATGCTTGCTAGTGTATTCCTGAAATCATACTTTGGCCAGGTGTGGTGGCTCACGCCTATAATCCCAGCACTATGGGAGGCCGAGGTGGGCGGATCACGAGGTCAGGAGATCGAGACCATCCTGGCTAACACGGTAAAACCCCGTCTCTACTAAAAATACAAAAAATTAGCCAGGCATGGTGGCCGGTGCCTGTAGTCCCAGCTACTCGGGAGGCTGAGGCAGGAGAATGGTGTGAACCCGGGAGGCGGAGCTTGTAGTGAGCTGAGATCGTGCCACTGTACTCCAGCCTGGGCGACAGAGTGAGATTTGGTCTCAAAAAAAAAATCATACTTTGGTCATTCTCTTATTTTAACCATTCAAGACAGTTTTCAGAAACTGTTCTCAGAAATACTGCTCTGGCCAGGCATGGTGAGTCACCTCTACAATTCCCAGCACTTTAGGAGGCCAAGGCAGGAGGATTACTTGAGCCCAGGAGTTTGAGATCAGCCTGGACAACATAGTGAGATCTCGTCTTCACACACACACACACACACACACAAAATTAGCCAGGCATGGTGGCACACACCTGTAGTTCCAGCTACTCAGGAGGCTGAGGTGGGAGGCTTGGTTGAGCCTGGGAGATCAAGGCTGCAGTCAGCTGTGATCATGTCCCTGCACTCCAGCCTGAGCGACACAGCAGGATCCTGTTTCCAAAAAAAAAAGAAAAGAAAAGAAAAGAAATACTTTTATTGGGATTGCACCAACAACCTCCCAAGGAGACGAAAAGACCTCCAACCACAAGTTGCAGTTAAAACTGCTGCCTTGGCCGGGCGCGGCAGCTCACGCTTGTAATCACAGCACTTTGGGAGGCCGAGGTGGGTGATCACCTGAGGCGAGGCGTTCAAGGCCAACATGGCGAAACCCTGTCTCTACTGAAAATACAGAAACGAGCTGGGCGTGGTGGTGCATACCTGTAATCCCAGCTACTCGAGAGGCTGAAGCAGGAGAATTGTTTGAACCTGGGAGGAGGAGGTTGCACTGAGCTGAGATCGCGCCACTGCACTCCAGGCTGGGTGACAGAGCAAGATTCCATCTCAAAACAAACAAACCAAACCAAACAAAACCCAAAATGACTGCCCAAACCCAGACCTCCAGGACACAGACTCAGTTTCCCACCCTGACTCTGCTTAAATGGGAGTTGCTTGAGCTTTAGGTGCCCTGATGCAAATCAGCTGAATAAAACCTTTAACCTCTACTCGAGTTACATCATTTCGTTTCTTTTGAGGGTCCCCAGCAAGCCTTGATTTGCATCTCTTTTTCTTTTCTTTTTCTTTTTTTTGAGACGGAGTCTCGCTCTGTCGCCCAGGCTGGAGTGCAGTGGCGCGATCTTGGCTCACTGCAAGCTCCACCTCCTGGGTTCACGCCATTCTCTTGCCTCAGCCTCCGGAGTAGCTGGGACTACAAGCGCCCACCAGCACGCCCAGCTAATTTTTTTTTTGCATTTTCAGTAGAGACGGGGTGTCACTGTGTTAGCCAGGATGGTCTTGATCTGACCTCGTGATCCGCCCGCCTCAGCCTCCCAAAGTACTGGGATTACTGGCGTGAGCCACCACGCCCGGCCTGCATCTCTTTTTCTTTTGATTCTTTGGGAGGAAAGATTAAGCCCAGCCCAGCCAGCTCCTGCAGTTCCCCAGGAAGGGCTGGGAATCCCTATCTGGTCAATTAAATTATTTATTTATTTATTTATTTATTTTGAGATGGAGTTTCACTCTTGTTGCCTAGGCTGGAGTGCAATGGAGCAATCTCGGCTCACCACAACCTCCGCCTCCTGGGTTCAAGCGATTCTCCCACCTCAGCCTCCCGAGTAGCTGGGATTACAGGCATGCATCACCACACCTGGTTAAGTTTTGTGTTTTTAGTAGAGACAGGGTTTCTCCATGTTGGTCAGGCTGGCTTCGAACTCCCGACCTCAGGTGATCCGCCTGCCTCGGCCTCCCAAAGTGCTGGGATTACAGGCTTGGAGCCACCGTGCCTGGCCTAAGTAATTTATTTTTTATGCACTGTCTTTCTTCACTCTAGTACTGAAATTCTACCATAAAGCTTAAATTGCCTAATATTGATTGATACCTACCCCAGTTACATTTTTTTACGGTGATAAAATATACATCACAAAAATTTCCATGTGAACCATTTTAAAGCGTATGCTTCAGTGGCATTAAGTACAGCCACATCGCTGTGTAACCAGCATCACGATTCATCTCCAGAACTTTGTCATCTTTCCCAATTAAAACTCTGTTCCCTTTAAATAATCACACCTCATTCCCTTTTTCTCTCAGTCCCTGGTAAGCTCTGTTCTATTTTCTGTGCCCAGGAATTTGACTGTTCTAGGGATCTCCTAGAAGTGGAATCACTCAACCTTTGCCTTTTTTGTGTCTGGCGTATTTAATTTTGCAGTGTTTTCCAAGTTCACCTGTGGTGAAGCATGTGTGTATCAGTATTTCATTCCTTTTAAAGTCTGAACAGTATTCCATGGTATGTAGTGTTACAAAGTAAAATATATGGCCGGGCACAGTGGCTCACACCTGTAATCCCAGCACTTTGGGAAGCTGAGGCAAGAGGATCACCTGCGGTCAGGAGTTCAAGACCAGCCTGGCCAACATGGTGAAACCCTGTCTCTATTAAAAATACAAAAACGAGCTGGGCATGGTGGTGCATACCTGCAATCCCAGCTACTGGGGAGGCCAAGGCGGGAGAATTGCTTGAACCCGGGAGGCTGAGGTTGCAGTGAGCTGAGATGATGCCACTGCACTCCAGCCTGGCGACAGAGTGAGACTCCATCCCAAAAAAAAAAAAAAAAAGAAGAAGAAGAAAAGAAAAAAAGGAAAATGCGGCATAAGAAAATTTCTGATCTCTTCCCCAAATAAACTACCTGCAGGTAAGCCCTCATTTCAGGCTTTTCTTTTTGGAGGCTCCCAAATTACAACCGAAGAAGTCCAAGGAGTTGAGAACCCTACTAAACCTTGGTTCAGGTCTGGGCTCAGGGCGCTAAAGGATATTCCTCTTGCGACCTCTAGTGGTTTTAGGTGTCCAATTCCCTTCTATTGTCTCTGGGTCTTCACCTCCTCCAGTGGTGCTTCCTTTCCTTGTTTTCTCATCCTGTCCCTTCAAAAACCTGCTTCTTGGCCAGGTGCGGTGGCTCACGCCTGTAATCCCAGGACTTTGAGAGGCCTAGGCAGGCGGATCACGAGATCAGGAGTTCGAGACCGGCTTGGCCAACATGGTGAAACCCAGTCTCTATTAAAAACACAAAAATTAGCTGGGTGTGGTGGCGGACGCCTGTAGTCCCAGCTGCTTGGGAGGCTGACACAGGAGAATCGCTTGAAGCCGGGAGGCAGAGGTTGTAGTGAGCCGAGATTGTGCCACTGCACTCCAGCCTGGGTGACAGAGTGAGACTCCGTCTCAAACAAACAAACAAACAAACAAACCTCAAAAAACCCCCACAAATAACCTGCTTCTTTTCTGGTATCCTCAATATCTCGTTTCACCTATGCCTTCACTGCTAGGTGGATCTTTTTAAAGAAAATTGGGAACATCATGGCCAGGTGTGGTGGCTTATGCTTTGAGAGGCCGAAGTGGGTGGATTGCCTGAGCTTAGGAGTTTGAGAGCAGCCTGGGCAAAATGGCAAAACTCTGTCTCTACAAAAAAAAAAAAAAAAAAGAGTCAGGCGTGTGGTGCATGTAGTCACAGCTGCTTGGAAGGCTGAGGCAGGAGGATCGCTTGAGCTCAGGAGGTGGAGGTTGTAGTGAGCTGAGATCTTGCCACTGCACTCCAGTCTGGGTGACAGAGTGAGACTCTGTTATCAATCGATCAATCAATAAAAACTTTAAAAAATCACTATGTATGTTTAAAAGATGAAGAGTTAAAAAATGCTTTATTCCCTTACATAAATATTCTCTTACAGTTAAAAGCAATCATCATTCAGGACATCATAAAATATCCTGTTAATGTGGTCATTTCCCTGGTTCTTATTTTTACTCTATTGCTTTGCATAGAGATATAAATCATCCACTATAATAGGGTTTTTTTGTGTGTGTTAAGTTTTTTTTTGTGTGTGTTAATTCTTTGTTACTCTAAGTTGCCACTTATCTAAGTCCACCCCCCCCATTCAAACATCGTTATTGTAGAAACTGGGTCATTTTTTTCTGTTAAATTTTCTTTGGTTTCAGTTTTGCCAATTACATCCTTGTGTTGTCATTTAACATGTTTTTCTTTCTTTCTTTTTTTTTTTTTTTCTGAGATGGAGTTTTGCTCTTATCCAGGCTAGAGTGCAATGGCATGATCTTGGCAAACTGCAATCTCCACCTCCCGAGTTCAAGCGATTCTCCTGCCTCAGCTTCCCAAGTAGCTGGGATTACAGGCGCCTGCCACCACGCCCGGCTAATTTTTTTGTATTTTAAGTAGAGAGGGGGTTTCACCATATTGACCAGGCTGATCTCGAACTCGTGACCTCAGGTGATCTGCCTGCCTCAGCTTCCCAAAGTGCTGAGATTACAGGCGTGAGCCACTGCGCCTGGCCGTCATTTAACACATTTTTCTAGCCTTTGAATTTCCTTTAAACTGGTGGTTAGATATGGATGCTTGATCAGATTCAAGTTCACTTGCCTGCCTGCCTGCCTGCCTGCCTGCCTGCCTTCCTTCCTTCCTTCCTCCCTCCCTCCCTCCCTTCTCTTTTTTTTTTTTTTCTTTTTCAGCGTCTTGCTCTGTTGCCCAGGCTAGAGTGCAAACCGCGATCTTGGTTCACTGCAGCCTCAACCTCCCAAACTCAAGCGATGCTCCTGCCTCAGCGTCTGAAGTAGCTGGGACTACAGGTACATGTCACCATGTCCAGCTAGCTTATTACTTTTTTTTTTTTTTTGGTAGAGACGGGATCTTGCCACGTTGCCCAGGCTGGTCTCGAACTCCTGGGCTCAAGCAATCCTCCCACCACAGCCTCCCAAATGCAGTGAGGCCCTGTAACATTTCCTACAGTGGCATTCACACTGTAGGAAGCACATGAGGACAAAAGCAGATGTGACAATACCCGACATTGTGAATGGTTTTCAAATCTCCAAATCTCCCACAGGGAATATGGTATATGAGAGATTCTCTCTCTCTTCTTTTTTTTTTTTTTGAGACAGAGTTTTGCTCTTGTTGCCCAGGCTGGAGTACAGTGGTGTGATCTCAGCTCACTGCAACCTCCGCCTTCCAGGTTCAAGCAATTCTTGTGCCTCGGCCTCCTGAGTAGCTGGGATTACGGGTACGTGCCACCATGCCTGGCTAATTTTTTATTTTAGTAGAGATGGGATTTCACCATGTTGGCCAGGCTGGTCTCGAACTCCTGACCTTGGGTGATGCGCTTGCCTTGGCCTCTCAAAGTGCTGGGATTACAGGCGTGAGCCACTGTGCCCGGCCTTGGTTGCCCATTTTTATGGTTATTTCTTGATGCTATGCTAAACAGGTGGTCCACATTGAGTAACTTCCTGACGTTGCCATGGCATCTGTAACTGTCATGGCGCTGCTGGGAGTGTCGGAGTGAGGAGGACCGGAGGTCACTCTCATCGTCATCTTGGTTTTGGTGGGTTTTGGCCGGCTCCTTTATTGCAACCTGTTT